TTTAGGTGAGGCCATTTAGCCCCTAAAAGGTGAGCATTAGATTTGAGTCAAAAGGGTATTGTTGGTTCTGGAAATACAAAGAGAGAGAACAAGATGGGCTTCTTGTCTTCCTTGCTGTCAGGACATCCTCCTCCTGGGTGATTTCAATGCCGGCTGCTCCTTTGTCCGGACGCAGGACTGGGCCCACATCCGCCTGCGCACTGACCCCGCTTTCCAGTGGCTCATCCCGGACACGGCTGACACCACCGCAGGGCGTTCCGACTGTGCCTATGACCGGTAACTGCCAAGCCCAGCATTCCCTTTCTCCTTGAGATGGGTCTGGATGTGCCCTGTGACCACCTTTCGGTGCTATAAACACCACAGCTGGACCGGCTCACAATAAAAATGCACCTTGTGTTGTGTGGTTTACAACTCCCATACTCCCTTGGCTCTTAGACAAGTGCTGGGATGTTGTAGTTCAGTATATCCCAATTATCAGCCAGGGAATGCGTAAATGTATAGGTCTTTGCACAGTCTTCTTTGCTTCTCCCAGCACTCTCGGAAGGGATTGGACTACAAGTCCCATCACCCTGAAAAAGGCATTTGTAGAGCTTCCTTTAGACCAGTACTTCCTCAGATGGGTTAGACTACAAATCCCCAAAGTCCCCAACATGGATAGCTTTCTTTAGCCTTGCACTCTCTAGATGGGCTGGACTACAAACTCCCATCATTCTCCAACAGCACTAGGTCCTTGTATTGGCTCATTTTGCTTACCACCTTCCAGATGGGTTGGACTACAACTTCCATCACTGCCCAGAACATATATTGTACATCCTTGCTCAGGCTCCTTTAGCTCAGCACCCTCCAAATGGATAGGACTACAACTCCCATCACTATTCAAAACATTTACATCCTTCCACAGGCTCCTTTAGCTCAGCACCCTCCAGATGGGTTGGACTACAACTCCCATCACTATTCAAAACATTTGCATCCTTCCACAGGCTCCTTTAGCTCAGCACCCTCCAGATGGGTTGGGCTACAACTCCCATCACTATTCAAAACATTTACATCCTTCCACAGGCTCCTTTAGCTCAGCACCCTCCAGATGGGTTGGACTACAACTCCCATCACTGCCCAGAACATATACAGTACATCCTTGCTCAGACTCCTTTAGCTCAGCATCCTCCAAATAGATTGGACTACAACTCCCATCACTGTCCAAAACATATAAGTCTTTGTAAAGCTTCCTTTGTAGAGCCCAGCATCCTCCAGGTGTGCTGGATTACCATTCCCATCACTCTTTTCCTTCCTGCAGTATTGTAGCCGCCGGAGCTCACCTGCAAGGAAGCCTCCTACCTGGGAGTGCCCAGGTGAACAACTTCCAGGAAACCTTCCGCCTCAGCGACAAAGATGTGAGAAGATCCTCTTTTGATCATTTGCAAGGAATGGTGAACTCTGTGCATGGCCAGAGGAACCACAAGCATCTGTTAAAGATGGCAGAAGGAGGAGGGAGGGGGTCTAGACCAGAATAGGGGACCCTGCACATGGCCAGAGGCACCCCAATCAGGTTTCAAGGCAGGGAAGCATCCTCAATATTAATATAATATATTATCATATATGATGTTTTATATATAGGGTTGCTGTGAGTTTTCTGGGCTGTATGGCCATGTTCCAGAAGCATTCTCTCCTGACATTTCACCCACATCTATGGCAGGCATCCTCAGAGGTTGTGAGGTCTGTTGGAACCTAGCAAAATGGGGTTTATATATCTGTGGAATAATGTCCAGAGTGGGAGAAAGAACTCTTGTCTGTTTGAGGTAGCTGTGAATGTTGTAATTGGCCACCTTGATTAGCATTTAATGGCCTAGCAGTTTCAAGGTCTGGCTTCTTACTGACTGGGGAATCCTTTGTTGGGAGGTGATGGGAGTTCCTTCTCCCACCATGGACATTCCAGATATATAAACCTCATTTTCCTAGTTTACAACAGACCTCACAACCTCTGGGGATGCCAGCCATAGATGCAGGCGAAACGTCAGGAGAGAATGCTTCTAGAACAGGGCCATACAGCCCGAAAACCTACAACAACCCAGTGATTCCGGCCATGAAAGCCTTTACCTTTATCATTTTTTCCCTTTCTTTTTTTCCTTTCCAGGCTTTGGCTGTCAGTGACCATTATCCAGTGGAAGTGACCCTGAAATCCAATTAATTCCCTTTTTGCACCCCGAAACTCAACTTTTATTCGGGGAAATCCCTTTAATTCCCACGAAGCTTTCTGCCGCTTATGAAATCACAGTTCCTAATCATTAAAGATAATTATAAAGATAGCTGATTCTTCCACTCACGTTTTTCTTGTTCTTATGCATGATGATGAGATGCACTGGAGGCCAAATTGTGAAATTTCACGACTCACGCAATTAATCTGAATAAATCTGCTAGAGGGCATTTAATGTTATAGTCTTCCTTCCAGAGAGGTCTCTTTGGGTGAAAACTTGTGTTGGACTACAACTCCCATCATTCCCAATCACTGCCTGAACTAATTGGGAGGAGATGAGTTTTGGGAGTAACATACAGCTGGAGTTTTCTGAGCCATGAAAGTTCCAATTGGTGCCCTCCACATGTATTGGACTACAACTTCCATTGTGCCCAGCCACTGCCTGAACTAAATGCGAAGCATGGGTTTTGTTACTCCAACACAGCTGGAGGGTGTTTTTTTTTTTAGACAAGAAGACACAAAACCCCACTTTTCCCAATTAGCACCTTCACTGTGTGTTGGACTGTAACTCCCATCATCCCCTGCCCCTCTGCTAGTCAGGAGGCAATGGGTTTTGTTAGCCCAATGCAGCCAGAGCAAATGGAGGAAGGTCTTTTAGTATCCCTAACCATAGTCCAGTTTGGGACCTCAGCAGTGGATGATGGGCTTTTCACATTGTAAAGAAATAAGTGATGGTTTTTGTTCATAATAAACATAAGGCAGGACTTGTTTTGTTTTTAGGAGAGGGGGTCCATTGCAATAGTGGTGTGAAATGCGCTCTGACCGCAAAGGTTGCCTCTCTTCCTTCCTGCACAACACATCCCCTTTTGCAAGAACCTTGTGGCCACAGGCCTTGGGAAAGATGATCACAGGGCCTTTCCATCTATCCTTCCATCCCTCTATCTGCCCACCTGCATATCTATCCACCCATCCACTCACCCATCTCTGGATTCATTCATATACCTACCTATCAGCCTAACCATCCATCCATTCACCCACCTAACCTACCTATCTACTTAATTAGCTAGCTACCTATATACCTAGCCACCCCCCCCCCCCAATTTCTTTATCCACTCATCCAACTATGGTCCCTTCTACACTGCCATATAAAACCAGACTATATGGCAGTGTAGTAGCGGCCTACCTGCCCTCCATCCATCCATCTATCCATCTACCTATCTATCTATATATATACCTACCCACTTGCCTACCTGCCTGCCTGCCTGCCTACCTACCTACCTACCTACCTACCTACCTATCAATTTACTTATCTATTTACCAAACCATCCATCCCATCCTCCATTCATTCATTCATTCATTCATTCATCCATCCATCCATCCATCCATCTACCTACCTATCAATTTACTTACCTATTTACCAAACCATCCATCCCATCCTTCATTCATCCATCCATCCATCCATCCATCTACCTACCTATCTACCTAACCATTACCTGCCTGTATATCTAACCATCCATCCATCAGTTTATTCACACATTCAACTATCTATCTCAATATTTATCAATTCATCTACCTATCTATCTGCCTGCCCATCTATTTAGTTATGGACTTAACCATACATTCATCTCTTTACTACCTACCTACCTACCTGTATACCTATCCATCCACCCATGGATCCAACTCTTTATTCCTCCACCCACCCATCTCTTTATCCTTTCACCCATCCACCCATCTCTTTATCAATGCATCCATCCATCTCGTTATCCATCCACCAATCTCTTCATTCGTCCATTCATTGATCTATTCATCCATCCATCCATCTATTATCCATATCTTTATCCTTTCACACATCCACTCATCAATCCATCTCTTTATCAATACATCCATCCATCCATTAATCCATCCATCCATTCATCACTTCATCCATCTATCCATCCATCCATCCCTTCATCCATCCATTCATCGATCCATTGATCCATCGATCTCTCAATCCATCAATCCATTGATCGATCCATTGATTGATCCATCCATATCTTTATCCTTTCATGCATCCACCCATCAATCCATCTCTTTATCAATAAATCCATCCACCCATCTGTCCATCCATCACTTTATCCATCCTTCCATCCATCTTTTTATCCATCCATCCATCCATTCATCAATCCATCCATCCATCCATCCATCCATCCATCCATCCATATCTTTATCCTTTCATGCATCCACCCATCAATCCATCTCTTTATCAATAAATCCAMCCATCCGTCCATCCATCACTTTATCCATCCATCCATCCAGCCATCCATCCATCCATCCATCCATCCATCCATCCATCCATCCATCCATATCTTTATCCTTTCACACATCCACCCATCAATCCATTTTTATCAATAAATCCATCCATCCATCTCTTTATTCTTTCACCCAACCACCCATCTCTTTATCAATGCATCTTTCCATTTCTTTATCCATCCATTCATCTCTCCATCCATCCATCCATCCATCCATCCATCCATCCATGCATCCCTCCATTTCTTTATCCCTCCACTCATCCTTCCATTTCCATAGGCACCTTTCTTTTATACATGCAGAAACCCAACAGGTTTCGCTGTGGAATGCGGTTTAGTGCATCTCTGTTGTGCAAAGAACACAATTCGCAGTGCAAGGTTTGTGATGCAACACAGTGTGGTTGCAACGCCAGCATTAAAAGGGAGAATGCTAATTTCAAAAGGGCTGGGCCCCTTCCGGCAGCAATAGTAGGAGTCCAAAGAGAGGCAGGCGGCAGGTGCCAGGGAAGCCAAGCAAGGCGGGCTTGAGCCTCTCTCTTTGAGTATCTGGCAGAAGGTTCTGAGCCAAGCGGAAGGGAAACTTGCCTTTTGGGGAGAAGCACCCCTTGCTCACCAGGTAAAGGTAAGGGTCTAGGTCATTAGGACTGATTTCATCCCTGGATAAAGAATTGGGGATATATTTTTTTAATGAAAGCAGTAGATCAATATGTATTTCCAAAGCCCTAAGTCTACCCACTTCTTAAGGCAACCATTCCATAATTTTATGTTAACCACAACATTCAGTGGCAGGGAGTTCCAAAGGTCAACAACAGACTGTAGCTATGAAGTCTTATTGTGGGGGGAAAGATTCCACATAAACATTAGGAAGAAATCCTTGTTGGGAAGGAAGTGGAATATGTCACCTGGGAGTCTGGTGGCATTTCCTTTGGAAGTTTCGAAGCAGAGGTGGGATGGCCATCTGTTGGGAGGGCTTGGACGGTGTCTTTTCTGTTGGATGACTTTTGCATCTTCTGGCTCTTTAGGAACATGAAGCAACTTCTCTTGCTCATTTTCGGCCTGGTGTTGCTGGCACAAATGGTCAGCGCTTTAAGGATCTGTGCATTCAACATCCAGAGCTTCGGGGACACCAAACTGTCAGATGAAGGCACCTCCAAAATAATTGTGAAGGTGAGCTCTCCTTCTCTGGAGGCCTTTTAACAGCGATTGGATGGGCATCTTTTGGGAGGGCTTTAGCTCAAAAGCAGACTGGGGTTGGGCTGGATGCCATTTGGGTGCCCCTTCCAGGACTTGTGGAATATGGACTGCTCTGGAGGGTGGGAGGCTCTCCTCCTTTGGAGGTCCTTAAATGGAGCTTGGATGGGCATCTTTCAGGAGGGCCTTAGATGTGCACTGCGGAGTGGGGCAGACTGGATGCCCTTTGGGGTTCCCTCTTCTAGCTCAGGGCAGGGAATGCACCAGAACTACAGCCAGGAACTTCAAAAAATCACATCCTCTCCAGATTCCCCACTGGTGATGCCAACTAGAGGATGATGGGCATTATAGTCTAGAAGAGTGCTTTCTCTTAGACACCAAGGATCCTCTTTCTTGCTGCAGGTCCTCTCCCGCTATGACATTGCCATGGTGCAAGAGGTGCGGGACTCCGACCTGAGTGCCGTCAATGAGCTGATGGAGCGACTCAACAGGTGAGACCCCACCTTTATGGGGCACCCAGTACAACTTCCTTTTATAGATAGATAGAGTCCGTCCAAGTTATAGACATCTGACTTACAAATGACTCCTAATGAAGAATGGGGCTGGACTGGATGGTTTTTGGGGTTCCCTTCCAAGTCTATGATACTATTTCTATCTCATATATTCAATAGATAGATAGATAGATGCTAGATAGATCGCTCGCTCGCTAGATGCTCGCTCGCATGGACCCTGAATGTACAAAATACCCACACCCTAAACCAAGACCCTATGTCAGATTGAGGGATCCAAAGATCTACCAGGCAGAGTTGCATCTTGTCCTCCTCCCAGTGTGTTCAACCTATTGGCATTAGAGAATAGGTAGGGTCCATTTTGAACATCTCTCCTTGACAGTGAACTGTTATTCAACATTTGCCTGGTCGGCTGCTCTTGGGGGTCCTTCCCGCCTTGTCTCCTGTACTTCATCGAGCCGCTAGCTAGATCGACGCTGGCTCGCTAGCTCGCTCGATCGCTCGATCGAGCCCGTCCCTCCGTCCCGCCCTTGCCTTTACCCCACCACTTCTATTGCCGCCTGGGGCTTCTGGCTGATCAACTCCCTTCGCTAGATCGATCGCTGATCCCGTTCGATAGCTGCTCGTAGATCCCCAGCCGTCGCTCTATCGCTATCGCTCGCTCGGACGCCGTCGCCCGCTCGCGGCTGGTTCATCCTACGTTCCCGCCCTCGCTTTCCAACACCTTCTAGTGCCGCCTGGGGCTGGCTGGTGATCAATCTACATAGATAGATAGCTGCTCGCTAGATAGATAGACGATGATAGATCGATAGCAAAGCCGGTAGGTAGCGAGCCGGTCATCCTAAGGTCCTGGCTCCTTGCCTTCCCACTGGCTTCCTCGTGCGCATGGGGCTGGCCCGGGTGATCTTGCGTTGCTCCCTTCCCCTCTATATCTTATGTCTCTCTTCATCTTAGATATAGATCGCTAGACTGATTCGACAGACCGCCAGACCGATATTGAGACCATCCTTTCATTACGACATCTGACTACAAATAATCCTCGGACGAATGGGCTGAAATGGTTGGCCTTTGGGGACCCTTCCGCATCAAGATCATTGCTTCTCTCATAGATAGATAGATAGATAGATGAGATATAAATAGATAGATAGATAGATAGATAGATAGATAGATAGATAGATAGACAGACAGGTAGATAGATAGAGATAGGTCATCCCTAAGTTACAGACATCTGACTTACAAACGACTTCTAGTGAAGAATGGAGCTGAACTGGAAGATCTTTAAGGACCGCTCCCAAATCTATGATATTAGAGATAGATAGATAGATAGATAGATAGATAGATAGATAGATAGATGATAGATAGGCAGACAGACAGACAGAGGCTGTCCTTAAGTTACAGACATCTGACTTACAAATGACTCCTAGTAAAGAATGGGCTGGACTAGATGGTCTTTGGGGGTCCCTTCCAAATCTATGATAATGTGTCTCTCATATATAGAGATAGAGAGACAGACAGACAGACAGAGGCCATCCCTAAGTTACAGACATCTGACTTACAAATGACGCCTAGAGAAGAATGGGCTGGACTAGATGGTCTTTCCGGGGGTCCCTTCCAAATCTATGATAATGTGTCTATCTCATATATAGATATAGATAGATAGATAGATAGATAGATAGATAGATAGATAGATAGATAGATAGACAGGTGGAGGCCGTCCCTAAGTTACAGACATCTGACTTATAAACTACTCCTAGTGAAGAACAGGGTTGGGCTAGATGGCCTTTGGGGGTCCCTTCCAAAGCTATGATACCATGTCTATTTCATGTTCGTCTCATATATATTAATGGGGCGCTCTCCCAAACTTGCCCCTTGGCTCCCAAACCCCACATCTCTCTCTTTGACCTTGCAGAGCATCGAAGGAGCCCTACGAATTTGAGATCAGCCAGGCTTTGGGTCGGGAGAACTATAAGGAGATGTACCTCTTCATCTACAGGTAGGGTCCCAAACGTAAACATATCCCATTTTCCCCCTTTCCTCTTCCTCCCTCCCACTGGTCTGTATATTATTTTATTTATTCGATCATTAAAATTGTCTGATTCAATTCCTCACATTGTTCTTTCCCTGTTACTCTTGTCCATGAGCTCTTTCCATTTCGACTCCCAAGTCTCCTGAATATATCCACTAGTATATTTTATTCTACAGTTTCATCCCCATCTTTGTTTCTGTCTATACCTTCTATATAGCAAACTATACATCCCTTTGCCTTTTCCTCCCTCCCCAGGGCAAGTTCGGTATCGGTGGTGGACAAGTACCAGTTCCCCAGCAAGAGCAACGCCTTCAGCCGAGGGCCCCTTTCATCCTGAAGTTCTCCGCTCCGGAATTGAGTCCGTAACGCAGAGAGAAAGCATCTCTTTCTTGGTGGTTTCCCCCCCAAGGGACACCTTTGAAAACTTTCCTCTTTTGCTGTATGACGAATGCAGTTTGGCCCCATTTGAAGCACCCCATGGCTTCAATTTTATGGAAATTCTGGGAGATGTAGTTTTCTAAGGGCTTGAGCTTTCTTTGCCAAAGAGTGACACACTACAACTCCCAGGCTTCCCTATGGAAACTTGACTCATTTTTCATTGGGGATGCAGCTGTAGAACAAATGCAACCTGACCCCATTTGAACTGCCCCGTGGCTTAAATGTTATAGGATTTGTAGTTTTCCAAAGTCTTGAGCCAAAGAGTGCAAACTAAAACTCCCAGGATCCTATATAGAAAGTTCCATTTTTCATTAGGGCTGCTGCTGTAGAACGAATGCAGCGTGATCCCATTTGAACTGTCACGTGGCTCAATGTTATGGAAACCCTGGATTATAGTTTCCCAAGGCTTTGAACCAAAACGTGCAAACTACAACTCCCAGGATTTCATATAGAGACTTGACTCATTTTACGTTGGGCCTGCAGCTGTAAAACAAATGCAACATGATCCCCATTTGAACTGCCCTGTGGCTTAAATGTTATGAGAGTTGTAGTTTTCCAAGATCTTGAGCGAAAGAGTGCAAACTACAATTTCCAGAATTTCATATGGAGACTTGACTCATTTTTTGTTGGGGTTGCATCTGTATAACCAATGCAATGTGACGCACGCTTGAACTGCCCTGTGGCTTAAATGTAACGGGAGTTGTAGTTTTCCAAGGCTTTGAGCCAGAAAGTGCAAACTACAGATCCCAGAGTTCCATAGCCTGGCTAGTCAGGGACATTTGCTCTAAGTAAATACATTAAAGGGTAAGGAGGGTGGAGAGGGCCACCATTGCTGCTCTGGATGCTCACCTGGACTCTCTTTTGCAGATGGGAAGGACCTCATCCTGGTCCCGCTCCACACTGCTCCCAATGATGCCGTGGCCGAGATTGATGCCCTCTATGACGTCTACCTGAAAATCATTGACAAGTGGGGCACCGATGTGAGCATCTTATAGGGAATTTTGGGAGTCTTCATCTGTGGTATCTTACTCAGATTCTTTACTTTGTTAAGCTTTTTAAACTTACCTGTCTTTTAATATTGTCATGGCCTGTATTTTTAATCTATGTATCCCACCTTGAGGAGGTAAATAATAATAACTGTTAGCCACCTTGCATCCCCATTGGGGGAGAAAGGCAGGGGAAATAAAGATGATGATGATGATGATGATGATGATGATGATAATTGTAATTGTCAGCCTTCTTGAGTCCCCATTGAGGGAGAAAGGCAGGGTAGAAATGATGATGATAATAACAACAACTACAACAACAATGGTAAGCCAACTTGAATCTCCATTGGGGAGAAAGGCGGTGGGATCAAAACATCATCATCATCAACAACAACCACAACAACAACAACTGTAAGCTGACTTGAATCCCCATTGGGAGTCCAAGGCAGGCTAGAAAGAAAATTAATAATAACAATAACAACAACAGGTTGTTGTAGGTTTTTTCAGGCTATATGGCCATGTTCTAGACAGGCATTCTCTCCTGACGTTTCGCCTGCATCTATGGCGAGCATCCTCAGAGGTAGTGAGGTCTGTTGGAACGAGGAAAATGGGTTTATATATCCGTGGAACGACTAGGGTGGGACAAAGAACTCTTGTCTGTTGGAGCTAGGTGTGAATATTTCAACTGACCACCTTGATTAGCATTTGATGGCCTGGCAGTGCCTGGGGCAATCTTTTGTTGAGAGGTGATTAGATGTCCTTGTTTGTTTCCTCTCTGTTGTTTTGCTGTTGTAATTTTAGAGTTTTTTTTAATACTGGTAGCCAGATTTTGTTCATTTTCATGGTTTCCTCCTTTCTGTTGAACCTTTGCCTTTTTTAAGAATACACAGAAAAGCCATTGACAAAGCATGTGACAATTTCAACAGAAAGGAGGAAACCATGAAAATGAAAATCTGGCTACCAGTATTAAAAAAAAACTCTAAAATTACAACAGCAAAACAACAGAGAGGAAACAAACAAGGACATCTAATCACCTCTCAACAAAAGATTGCCCCAGGCACTGCCAGGCCATCAAATGCTAATCAAGGTGGTCAGTTGAAACATTCACACCTAGCTCCAACAGACAAGAGTTCTTTGTCCCACCCTGGTCATTCCACAGATATATAAACCCATTTTCCTAGTTCCAACAGACCTCACTACCTCTGAGGATGCTTGCCATAGATGCAGGCGAAACGTCAGGAGAGAATGCCTCTAGAACATGGCCATATAGCCCGAAAAAACCTATAACAACCCAGTGATTCCGGCCATGAAAGCCTTCAACAATATAATAACAACAACAATAATAATGTTATTGTAAGTTGGCTTGAGTGCCCATTTGGGGAGAAAGACAGGGTAGAAATAAAGTTAATAATAATAATAATAATAATAATAATAATTGTTTGCCTCCTTGAGATCCTATTGAGAGAAACGTAAAGTAGAAATAAAGGTAATAATAATAATAATAAATAATAATAATAATAATAGTAAGCCGCCTTGAGTCCCCATTGGGAGAGAAAGGCAGGGAAGAGCTAAAGATAAAGTTAATGATAATACTAATAATTATTTAAGCCCCCCCCCCCTCCCCGGTGGCGCAGCGGGTTAAACCACTGAGCCGCTGAACTTGCTGACTGAAAGGTCGTGGGTCCTTTCCCCAATCCGGGGAGTGGGATGAGCTCCCGCTGTTAGGCCCAGCTTCTGCCAACCTAGTAGTTCTAAAACATGCAAATGTGAGAAGATCTATAGGTACCGCCTTGGTGGGAAGTTAACGGCGTTCCATGAAGTTATGCTGGCCACATGACCTTGGAGGTGTCTATGGACAACGCCGGCTCTTTGGCTTACAAATGGAGATGAGCACTACCACCCAGAATTGGACACAACTAGACTTAATATCAGGGGAAACCTTTATTTAATAATAATAATTATAAGCCAGCTTGAAACCCTATGGGAAGAAAGGTGGAATAATTAAAATAATCTATAGTCTAAATAATCTATCTAAGACAATCCCATTGTGAGGTTTGCTTTAGGGCCACTGTAAGTCGGAAACAACTTGAATTCATGCAACGGCAAGGTGGTCAAATGAGGACATTGCCCCACAACTGAGAATTCGACCCCGATCCTTCTCCTTTGGGGTTTCTCCTCTTGGCAGAACATGATGTTTCTGGGAGACTTCAACGCGGACTGCAGCTACGTGGGCAAGAAGGACTGGGCCTCCATCCGCCTCCGGACCAGCGAGGTCTTCAAGTGGCTCATCCCCGATGAGGTGGACACCACCGTGGGGGACTCCGACTGCGCCTACGATCGGTACGGGATCTGGGTTATATGGCAGTGTAGACTCATTTAACCCAGTTCAAAGCAGATAATGTGGATTATGTGCCTTGTCAAAGCAGATAATGTGGATTATGTGCTTTTTCAAAGCAGATAATGTGGATTGTATATGTTAGTGTAGAAGAGGCTTCTGAGAACCACTTCCACTTGCCATCTAATTTTTGTTTGTTTGTTCCTCCCTTCAACAAACAAACAAACAAAAATTAGTTGACAAGTGGAAGCAGGTCTCAGAATTTATATTAAGTTAAGGCTACAAACTATAGATTGCTCATCCCTATTCTCTTTTTATTGCTTTCCCACCCTTTGATTGATTATAACACATCCCTTTTGAACCTCACAAAACTATTTGATATTTCTGAAATTCTAAACAGAGCGATACTTCCTGCTCGATTTTACAACTCGTCGCTCTCCACTCCGTTAATAACTTTGACCCTTAATGAGCTGAAATGGAAGTGAGCTGAGGCCAAAGGTTTTGTCCTTTCATCTCACTTGGCAAACAGCATTTGCACTTTGCTCTTAACTTGCAGCAATGGAAGTTATCTGAGCACAAAGCAGGAGGAAAGCAGAGGAACCGGGACATTTCACAAGGCATTCGCTACATGGGAAGGCAGAGGATTGATCTAAATTGGAGGGCATTGTTGAGGCTGGGTGCTCCAAAAATCTCTAGTATCTATATTACAATAGCTCTTAACTTGCAGCAATGGAAGTGATCTGAGCACAAAGCGGGAGGAAAGCAGAGGAACCAGGACATTTTACAAGGCATTAGATGCATTGGAAGGCAGAGGATTAATCTAAATTAAAGGGTATTGTTGAGGCTGGGTGCTCCAAAAAACTCTAATATCTGTATTACAATTGCTCTTAACTTGCAGCAATGGAAGTGATCTGAGCACAAAGCAAGATGAAAGCAGAGGAACCGGGACATTTTACAAGGCATTAGATACATGGGAAGGCAGAGGATTAATCTAAATTAGAGGGTATTGTTGAGGCTGGGTGCTCAAAAAATCTCTAGTATCTATATTACAATTGCTCTTAACTTGCAGCAATGGAAGTGATCTGAGCACAAAGCAGGAGGAAAGCAGAGGAACCGGGACATTTTACAAGGCGTTAGATACATGGGAAGGCAGAGGATTAGTCCAAATTGTTTCTACCAAATGGGGATGTTGGAGGATGTTGTTGTGGCTGGAAGCCCCAAAAATCTCTATTATCTTTATTCCAAGCAGAAACTAGAGATGAGGAGATTAAGATAGGATGATACTCCAGAAGCCAGTTGATGGAGCTTTTCCAAGACCTACTTCTTGGGCCTTTGAGACTTGTAGTTTGTCTTTGAAAAGGGCCCAGTGTTGCCCAAGGGAGTCCTCACTGGTTCCTCTTTTTGCTGTTCTAGGATCGTGGTGAGTGGGGCTCAGCTGAAGAAGTGGGTTAAGCCCAACTCGGCCAAAGTGTTCGACTTCCAGAAGGAGTTCAAACTGAGCCAGGAAAAGGTGCGCCTTTCATTCAATGCACACACACAATGGCCAATTGAACAGAATAATTATTCTGCAGTATTTTAATCCATGGATGGTTTGAATTCGTGGATACAGAGTCGTGGATAGGGAGGCCCAACTGTGCCTCTGTAAGAAAGGGATGGTGGGATTGGAGGTGCCTTTTGTGCAGGGATGCTATGCTCTTCTGAATGGGCGTTTTCTCTTTGCAGGCTCTGGCCGTCAGTGACCATTTCCCAGTGGAGGTCACTCTGAAGTCTCAATGAGGCTCCTTTGGCTTCCCTTCTGCTGCCCTGATGCCATGCTTGCCTTCCGTCTTCCAAATGCAATTTACACATATACGAAGCTACAGTCATGCTGCGCCTAGCTATCTCTTCGAGGTCCAATGTATTCCCTTTAGGGGTGTCACATGAGTGCTCCCCACAAAGGCTGTCTTGCGGGAAGGACACGGTCAAAGCCCTCCCGACAGATGACCATCCAACCTCAATTCGAACACCTCCAGGGAAGGAGACTCTACGGGACTCCAAGGCAAGGATTCCCAAAGAGCATCTAGTCCAGTCCCTTTCTGTTAAGGGAGACACAGTCAAAGCCCTCCCGACAGATGACCATCCAGTCTCAGTTCAAACACCTCCAGAGATGGAGACTCTACTGAACTCCAAGGCAAGGGATTCCCAAAGAGCATCAAGTCCAGTCTCTTCTGCCGTTAAGGGAGACACAGCCAAAGCCCTCCCGACAGGTGACCATCCAACCTCCATTCGAACACCTCCAGAAAAGGAGACTCTACTGGACTCCAAGGCAAGGATTCCCAAAGAGTATCTAGTCCAGTCCCTTCTACCATTATGGGAGACACAGTCAAAGCCTCCGGACAGATGACCATCCAACCTCCATTCGAACACCTCCAGAGAAGGAGACTCTACTGGACTCCAAGGCAAGGGATTCTCAAAGAGCATCTAGTCCAGTCCCTTCTCTGTTAAGGGAGACACAGACACAGCCAAAACACTCCTGACAGATGACCATCCATCCTCCATTCGAACACCTCAAGAGAAGGAGACTCTACTGGACTCCAAGGCAAGGATTCCCAAAGAGTATCTAGTCCAGTCCCTTCTGCCATTAAGGGAGACACAGTCAAAGCCCTCATGAGAGATGACCATCCAACCTCCATTCGAACACCTCCAGAGAAGGAGACTCTACTGGACTCCAAGGCAAGGGATTCCCAAAGAGCATCTAGTCCAGTCCATTCTGCCATTAAGGGAGACACAGTCAAAGCTCTCCTGACAGATGACCATCCAGTCTCAGTTCAAACACCTCCAGAGAAGGAGATTCTCCTGAACTCCAAGGCAACGGATCCCCAAAGAGCATCTAGTCCAGTCCCTTCTACCATTAAGGGAGACACAGTCAAAGCCCTCCCGACAGATGACCATCCAACCCTAATTCGAACACCTCCAGAGAAGGAGACTCTACTGGACTCCAAGGCAAGGGATTCCCAAAGAGCATCTAGTCCAGTCCCTTCTGCCGTTAAGGGAGACACAGTCAAAGCCCTCCCGACAGATGACCATCCAACCTCAATTCGAACACCTCCAAAGAATGAGACTACTGGACTCCAAGGCAAGGGATTCCCAAAGAGCATCTAGTCCAGTCCCTTCTGCTGTTAAGGGAGACACAGTCAAAGCCCTCCCGACAGATGACCATCCAACCTCAATTCAAATACCTCCAAGAAGGAGACTCTACTAGACTCCAAAGCAAGGGATTCCCAAAGAGCATCTAGTCCATTCCCTTCTGCTGTTAAGGGAGACACAGTCAAAGCCCTTCCAACAGATTACTGTCCAACCTCAATTCAAACACCTCCAGAGAAGGAGACTCTACTGGACTCCAAGGGAAGGGATTCCCAAAGAGCATCTAGTCCAGTCCCTTCTACCATTAAGGGAGACCCAGTCAAAATCCTCCCAACAGATGACCATCCAGCCTCAGTTCGAACACCTCCAGAGAAGGAGACTCCACTGGACTCCCTGGAAGTCTATACTTCCCTAGAACTGGAAGAGACCCCGAGGGCATCTAGTCCAGCCCTTCAGCCAGGCAGAAAAACATCCAGTCAGCCAGCCTCAGTTCAAAAAGCTCCAGAGAAGGCAATTCCACTGGAAGAGAGTCCCTAAGGGCATCTATACCAACCTCCTTCAACCATTTAAAGGAGACACAGTCAAAGCCCTCCCAACAGATAGCCATCTAGCCTCCATTTAAAAACCTCCAGAGAGCTTTAATCCCTACCGAAGTGGGGTGCTGCTGCTATTCAACTGTAGGTACTGCTATAACTTTTATAATCCGCACTGTTTTTTAATTGAGTTGTAGTCATTGCCAGTAAAATAGTTAAGTTTCTAATTTAGATGAGAAAATGTTTTGATAATGATGTCTGTGAGGAACCCCATGGGAAGGCTAGAGAGGGACCGACACAGGAATCAATCGAGGACATGAGAAGTATAAAGGGAAACAATTCCAAACCTTGTTTATATAGTAAAGATTATGTGAAACTTATATTTAATATGCTATATATGCGCGCAACTCTACATACTGGCACAATAAAAGTGTAATTGAAAGAAACGCCAATAAAATCAACCTGAGTTGTTCTTTGGTAATTGAGTGAATCTTCTGTTGCCCAAAATGCCGGAAACCAAATGGGTCACAACTTGCCCAGGGCAAGGCTGGGAGGAACATCCAAAGGGAAGGTTTGCAATGATTATGATTGGTATTATTTCTATTATTATTATTATTATTCTAAAGGTAGGTTTGTGATTATGATGATTATAATGGAAAGAGGAGGTTTCTGATGATGATGGTTACTATTACTATTATTATTATTCTAAAGGTAAGTCTGTGATGATGATGATTAGTATAATAATTGAAAGGGTAGGTTTCTGATGATGATGGTTATTATTACTATTATTATTATTCTTATTCTAAAGGTAAGTTTGCGATTATGATGATTATAATGGAAAGAGTAGGTTTCTGATGATGATGGTTACTATTACTATTATTATTATTCTAAAGGTAAGTCTGTGATGATGATGATTAGTATAATAATGGAAACAGTAGGTTTCTGATGATGATGGTTACTATTACAATTATTATTCTAAAGGTAAGTTTGTAATGATGATGATTAGTATAATAATTGAAAGGGTAGGTTTCTGATGATGATGGATTATTATTCTAAAGTTAAGTTTGTGATGATGATGACCACTATTATTATTATTCAAAATGTTGGTTTCTGATTATTATTATTATTTGAAACACAAGATGAGTCCCCAGCAGATAAGATCACTCTGCTGTCTGTTGTACTGGATCACTATAATATTTATTATTATTATTATTATTATTATTATTATTATTATTATTATTATTATTCAAAGGGCAGGTTTGCAGTGATAATGATTCAAAGGGTAGGTTTCTGATGACAATTACTATTATTATGATTACTACTATTACTCAAAGATTAAATTTCTGATGATTATTCAAAGGGTAGGTTTCTGATGACGATTACTATTATTATGATTACTAATATTATTACTCAAAGAGTAGGTTTCTGATGATGTTTCAAAGGGTAGGTTTCTGATGATGATGATGGTGATGATTCAAAGGGTAGGTTCATAATGATGATTCAAACAGTATGATGTTTACTATTATTATTATTAGAAGGGTAGATTTGTGATAGTGGTGATTTGTATTATCATTACAGTAGATTCTTGTTTATCCAACCTTCGCTCATCCAACGTTTTGTATTATCCAACGCAGTCTGCCTCCCGCCCGGATCCACAGCTGTTTCAATACATTGCGATGTTTTGGTGCTAAATTCGTAAATACAGTATTTACTACATAATATTACCATGTCTTGAACTGCTTTTTCTGTCAATTTGTTGTAAAACATGATGTTTTGGTGCTTAATTTGTAAAATCATAATGTAATTTGACGTTTAATAGGCTTTTCCTTGATTCCTTCTGATTATCCAACATTTTCGCTTATCCAATGTTCTGCTGGCCCATTTATGTTGGATAATCAAGACAAAAATAATACAGTTATTATCAAAGGGTGGGTTTCTGATCATCATCATCATCATCCCCTTTCCTCTCTTAAACAAAGCTCCTAAGAAGCCAGGAAAAAAACTTGCGAAGCCATTACCCTGTTTTAACAGTTTATTAAGCCCATTCACATTTAACGAAGGCCACACCCTCCTTTGCACCCTTTTAGCAATTTGGCCCCACTTTAGCTCTCATGGCTCTGTCCTTGGAGATCTTGGGATTTGTAGTCCTGGCAGGGTTCTTTGAGAGATCTAGAGTTGAGGGTCCCTGGAACAGGGATGAATCAACACAGAGGTTGACCGACAAGACCCTGTTGGGGCTGAAGCCCTAAACATCTCCAGGGCCAAAGAGAGGGATCCATTGGACTAGAGCTTCCGAGGAGAGGAGGGTAAGGATCTCCCCCAGTGCTTGGATGGGTCCAAGGCAGTGAGAATGGGATTGAACTGGGCCCAGTCAAAATGGCTGGGCGTGGACTATCCCTTCCCCTCAAACTGGGCTCAGTCTGCAAAAATCCAACCATAATGCACCCCAAAACTCACACATAAAGGAAGGGCAAGGGAAGCCAAAGGCACTTGGGCAACTGGCCAAGACTGTGTGGCTACCAGTGAAGAGCCCTTTGCCGTGGTCAACCTTTCCTTTGCTTCAGCCTCTCCATAGCCTTCTGGAGGGACTTCTGGATGGAGTCCCTGGAGATGAAGCCGACGAAATTCTGGATGTCGGCCTCCCGATGCGCCACCAAACGATCCAGCGTTGGCTTCCGCATCAAGGATTTGGAAAGCTGCCTGGCGTGATCTGCAAAAAGAGGCAAAGAGAGGCAAGCACCTGGAATTAAGTCTCATCATCTAAAATGCCAGATCTGTAGACCCCAATCTAACCTTCACAGATATCCTTTGGGGTGCATCTACACTGCAGAATAAATGCAGTTTTACCCAACGTGACGTTTCTCGCTTCAATGCTATGGAATCCAGGGCAACTAGCTTTGTAAGGTCTTTCACCTTCTCTGCCAACTGTCATGACTCCTTAGAAGTCAAGTCATACATGTCAACATGAGACATACAAGCTGAATTTTGCAATGTCTTTCACCTTCTTTGCCCACTGTGATGACTCCCTAGGATTCATGCCATAGATACGCAAACTGAAGTTTTGCAAGGTCTTTCATCTTCTCTACCAACTATCATGACTCCTTAGAAGTCAAGCCGTAAATGTCAACATGAGGCATACAAGCTGAATTTTGCAATCTCTTTTGCCTTCTCTGCCCACTTTCATGACTCCCTAGGATTCGTGCCATAACTATCAACATGAGATATGCAAGATGAAGTTTTGCAAGGTCTTTCACCTTCTCTACCAACTATTACGACTCCTTAGAAGTCATGCCATAAATGCCAATGTGAGACATCCAAGGTTCACAACCTGGGTGTGATCCTAGATTCATTGTTGAGCCTGGAACCCCAGGTTTCAGCGGTGACCAGGGGAGCATTTATACAGTTAAAGCTTGTGTGCCGGTTGGGCCCATACCTTGGGAAGTCTGACTTGGCCATGGTACTCCACGCTCTGGTTACATCCCATATAGATTACTGCAGTGCGCTCTACATGGGGCTGCCTTTGAAGACTGTTTGGAAGCTTCAAATGGTCCAGCGGGCGGCAGCCAGGTTGCTAAGAGGAGCGGCGCTCAGGGAGCATACAACTCCTCTGCTGTGCCAGCTCCACTGCCTGCCAGTTTGCTACTGGGCACAATTCAAATTGCTGGCTTTAGCCTATAAAGCCCTAAACGGTTCCGGCCCAGCTTACCTGTCTGAACGTAACTCTCCTTATGAACCATCTAGGAACTTAAGATCGTCTGGGGAGGCTCTGCTGTCAATCCTGCCTTCTTCACAGGCGCATTTGGTGGGGACGAGAGACAGGGCCTTCTCAGTGGTGACCCCTCAGCTGTGGAACTCCCTCTCTAGGGATATTAGGTCAGCCCCCTCCCTCCTGACTTTCCAGAAAAAAGTAAAGACAAGCTTTTGGAAATGCAGTGTAATAGATAAATATGGTACTATGAAAGAGTAAACATGGAACGGCTTAGACAATGATAATGAAACATGAGTTTAACTAGAAGATATTGGTGATTATATGTTTTTAATGGTTTTTATATGGTTCTTATATGGATTTTTGTTATGTCATGTTAAATGTTTTTAATGGTATTTATGACTGTTGTGGCCTTCTTGAATTGCCTTCGGGCTGAGAAAGGCGGGATAGAAATACTTTAAATAAATAAATATGGATTGTGTTCTGTTCTGTTGCAAGACAGATCCCTTAAAGTGCCAGACCAGTATTTAGTAGCAATAAGTAGTCTTTCTTCCCTTCCTAATACTCCCAGTAGTATCACTACTCAAAGACTCCATCACAACATGTACTATAGAGAAACTTACAGGGTTTCACAGCGGACTCTAGAGCAACCAAAGAACTGAGAAAACCATAAACAATCTGCTTATTCCTGAGATTGGTGAGATCTAGTAAGGTTGAACCTCTTACTATAGATTTACATTACAATACAAAACTTTATCATGGTCCATGACCAGCACAAGTGCCCTGGGAAGGGGAAACATCGTTCCCAAGTGATGCAGCTATTAAAAAACAGAACAGAAAATAGCCTGAAACAACAGCCCAAAAACACAGGTCAATGCAGCAGGTATGGAACCAAGGGGAGGGGGAGACTGATAGGAGGGGTTAAAGCACTGGGGGGGGGGGGAGACTAAAAGGGACAGGAGGGGCATATTACATTTCAGCTGCAACAGGTTGCTCTAACTACATTCCCAACAGGGTGTTGCCTTGCAGGGTCAGTCATCATCTGTCTAATTTTAAGTGCTGCAGCACAAAACTAAGCAACACTGTAAGTTAATGTAGTGCTAGAATTCAAAAGAACAGGGTGGAGTAATATTTTTTGGTGCACCCTGGATATTTTAGAAGACATGGTGTAATGAGATGACTTCTAAGGTCTCTGTAGAAGAGTGTTTCTCAACCTGGAGGATGGGACCCCTGGGTGTGTCGTGAGGGGGTTTCAGAGGGGCCGCCAAAGACTATCAGAAAACATATATTTTTAGCAATCCCTTTAGAAGAAGGCTGAAGATCACTTCGCCTGTCCTTCTCTTCCTTTTTGGAAACAGACTGCAAATACTTCCACCAAAGGCCCTCCTTTGTTGTGATTGACCAGCCTCTCACCCAAGGGGAGGGCTATTTTGGAGACTCAAAGTGGAAGGGGAGAGTAGGCATGCTCGGCACATTGCAGCATTGTGCACATGTGCACATGAGGGAGAACATGTGAGGCTGGAGGGAGGTTTGCGGCAGTGAGTAGCTTCAAGGCATGGGGGTTCTGTGCGGGAAGTTTGGCCCAATTCTCTTCTTGGTGAGATTCAGAATGCTCTTTGATTGTAGGTGAACTACAAATCTCAGCAACTACAACTCCCAGATGTCAAGGTCTATTTTCCCCAAACTCTACAAGTGTTCACATTTGGGCATATTGAATATTTGTGCCAAGTTTGGTACAGATCTATCATTGTTTGAGTCCACAGCGCTCTCTGGATGTAGGTGAACTACAACTCCAAAACGCAAAGTCAATGCCCACCAAACCTTTCCAGTATTTCCTCTTAGTCATGGGAGTTCTGTGTGCCAAGTTTGGTTCAATTCCATCGTTGGTGGAGTTCAGAATGGTCTTTGATTGTAGGTGAACTATAAATCCCAGCAACTACAACTCTCAGATGTCAAGGTCTATTTTCCCCAAACTCTACAAGTGTTCACATTTGGGCATATTGAATATTTGTGCCAAGTTTGGTCCAGATCTATCATTGTTTGAGTCCACAGTGCTCTCTGGATGTAGGTGAACTACAACTCCAAAACACAAGTTCAATGCCCACCAAACCCTTCCAGTACTTTCTCTTGGTCGTGGGAATTCTGTGTGCCGAGACTGGTTCAATTCCATTGTTGGTGAAGTTCAGAATGGTCTTTGATTGTCGGTGAACTATAAATCCCAGCAACTACAACTCCCAAATGACAAAATCAATCCCAAACCCCACCTGTATTCAAATTTGGCCATATTGAGTATTTGTGCCAAATTTGGTCCAGTGAATGAAAATACATCCTGCATATCGGATATTTATATTACAATTCATAACAGTAGCAAAATTACAGTTATGAAGGACGGATGAAAATAATTTCATGGTTGGGGGTCACCATAACATGAGGAACTATATTAAGGGGTCATGGCATTAGGAAGGCTTAGAAACACTGCTGTAGAGGCATTGAGGGAGAACGTGCTCAGTTGTTTCTATGTGCCCGGACTCTCAGGGGCATAATCTCTCCTTGAAGGGGGTCTTCCAATACCCTCCCCCCCCCCCGCCAATACAGCCAATGGGAGGGCATGGCATCTTGCAACTGTACTCTATTAGCTCAGACTGCACAAATTACAACTCAAAGGATCTCATAGCATTGAGCCATTGGTGGTCAAAGTGGTGCCAAACTGTATTCGTTATTCCAGATGCATCCTTGGAACGACTGGCAACCTTCCTTGCCACACCTGGTGAAGTTTGGGAAGCATTTCTCACCTGGGATGGCCAACCACTGTGCCATGACCTCTGTGGCTCGGAGGGGGACCTTCTCTACCGGCACCAACTCATCCACCAGGCCGATTTGGAGGGCCTCCGCTGGGGAATAGAGGAGGCCCAGTTGGAGGGAGCGCTCTGCAGCCCGGTGCCCGATGGTGTTCGTGATGGTGTCTTTGAACCTGGGCAAAGAACAAAAAACAATTATTTACTTGGAAAATAGCAGGTAAAGATGGGAATAAAGAATGGGCTGAAATTGTAAATTGCATGATTGCAGCTACCCAAACAATAGTACCTATATATACAGTATAAAGGTCACTACTTGGATGGCACCACGAGATGCAGAGCCAACCTTAAGAAATTGGGCTACAAAGTGCCACAACAGTCGAGTGTGCCACAACAGTCGAGTGTGGAAAAGAGCAAACCATTGACCACCTGCTGCAATGCAACCTGAGCCCTGCCACATGCACCATGGAGGACCTCCTTGCGGCAACACCAGAGGAACTCCAAGTGGCCAGATACTGGTCAAAGGACATTTAATCAACTACCAAGCTTGCAAACTTTGTGTTTTGTTTGACAGTTGTTTGTTTGTTAAAAATGCAATGCAACTGTTTGGTCTGCCCCTGATATGATAAATACAATACTTGGATGGGCATCTTTCAGCAACGCTTGAGTTGTGCCTCAATAGGATCATATACATTTAGGTATTAAGAAACACTGTCAAAAGCAAAGTTAAAACCCAGTATTGAATATGATAGTTAAAATGATATTTAATATTTGTATGGTAAGGTGACGATGGTAAATACCGAAATTAATATTAAAACCTTCTAAAATTGTGACAGCATTTGCAAACTTGATAAGCATGCCTATTGTGGATTCTCATGGATTTGTTTTAAATAGTTTTAATTCCTCCTCCTCCCTGCTAAGGCAAAGAAGCCCTCACCAGAATGGGGCCACGATGCCCAGCTGCGTCTCATTCAACCCAATGCGGAACTTGGAGTTGTCAGCCATGATGCGGTAGTCGCACGACAGGGACATCAAGCAGCCTCCAGCTGGACTAGATCCCTAAGAGAGAGAGAGAGAGAAATGAGAGAAGGACAAGGTGAGGATTTGGGGCATCTCTGGATCTAAGTCCTTGCAACTGTCCTTTTTTGCAGGTCGAAATGATTAACCACCTTGGACGGATTTTTGGGGAGATGGGGATGGCTGGTTGATTTTGGGATGGGGAAAACCCTCCCAAACTGCATGCAACACCTCCACAAAGGTAATTTTAAAAAATGTGGATGTTACACCACATAGTTTCAGCATTAGACCAGAGTTTGAATCCATGCAAACCCATTGGGAGATCCTGGGGAAGCCACACTCTCTCAGCTTCAGAGGCGAACTCTGTGTGGATGAATTTGGCCAAGAGAACCTCATGAGAGGTTGATGTTAGGGCTGCCGTAAGTCAAAAATAACCACAACAAGGAATGGGATTTTTTTCAGGAGCTGAAAAACTTGTTCCAACCCATTTTTGCAGGGTGTTTGCTAGAGTTGCAGTGAACCAGATCCCAAATGCAAGAGGAATGGACTTTGCCAAAGAGAAAGGAAGGGAATTCGGAGCCCGAAGGCCAGGAAACTCACATTAATGGCAGCGACGGTGGCCACGCGGGAATGGTAAAGGGTCAGCCACATCTCCTGGACCGCTTTCCAGAATTCTGTATAGTGAGCCTCGTTCTTGCCGCTCATTTCAGTGATGTCCAGCCCTGCGGAGAAAATGCCGGGCAGGGCCTGCGGGGAACAGAATAAGGAAGAAAAGTTACCCTGTTTACTTGAATCTAATGCTCACCTTTTGGAGGTAAATGACCTCGCCCAAATTAAGATGCACACAAAATTTGCATAATACAGTCATCTTAGTGCTGAGCCAAAGCCAAAGGGGAAGCTGCTTCTGAAGATCCTCTTTGAGAGCCATCATCTCTCAATTAATTACACTGAGTCAATGCTATGCAATCCTGGGATTTGTAGTTTGGTGAGAAATCCACATCCTTTGGCAGAGAAGGCCGAAGGCATTGTAAAATGACAGCTCTCATGACTCCATAGCAGTGAGGCGAGGCAGTATGTGCATTCATTCTGCAGCATAGATGCATCTGATTGGATGATGTATTAGATTTGAGTCAAAATGGGGTATATTCCCTCGTTGTTTCCTCCTACTTCTATGTCCAGACTAAGCCCCTGGGGAAATGAAAAAAGGAATAATTTGCATGGTTTCCCACCATAATTTATTGCGTACCGAGGTCAGGATGACTCCGCGACAAGCCTTGTCATTCTCCAGCTTCTCCAAACTGATGGAAAACTCAGTTAGTAATTCCAGGTTGAGGCTGTTCACTGGCGGATGCTTCATCGTCATTGTTGCGACTCCTACGAAGCAAACGAAGAAGGAATTATAACTCAAGACAAGAATCGTAACAATTAAGAGGAGAAAAAAAATCCTACATTACAATGAAGGGATTATTTTGGGCAGCGGCTTTTAGTAGGATGAGCACATCTCCGTGTTCTAACTTGGCTTAATTTCCTCATTTTATTAGACTACCAACTTAATGAAACAATCTAGCACATGAAACTAGAAATCCCAGCTTTGTGTGGTAGTTCTACCAGTGTCAATGTGGCATTATTATTATTGTTAATATAGTTTTTGAAAAATTGAAATAAGCATGCTATTTTTGGCACCCTTCAAAACTCAGGCTGAAGGCTGTTTTATTTACCTGTGTTTTCATCCAACTCCACCAGGATTTTGTTGTTGCTGAAGAGCCTGTTTTGGATGGAGGGCCTTCCGGTCAGTCTCTGGACGCTGCTCTGGTTGCCTTGGAGCCGGGAGAAAAGCCCTGCAAAGAAGTCCAAAGGTCACCCCCCACCCCCAAAGGGACAATGTTAACATTTCTCCTTTGAACTGCATGATATGGTCAGTGTAGACCCAGATAACACTATTAAGATGCACTGAATGGCTGAGATAGTGAGTGTAGACCCTTTTACTGCCCTTTAACTGCACTGGACAGCCTGATATGGTCAGTGTAGACCCACATAATTCTGTTTAATTGTACTGAACTGCATGCTATGGTCTGTGTAGACCCATAGAATGCCTTTAAACTGCATTGAATGGTCTGATATGGCCTCTGTACTCATATAACGTCCTTTAACTGCATTGAACAGTCTGATATTATCAGTGTAGACCTATTTCATGCCAATTTTTGTTGTTTATTCATTCAGTTGCTTCCGACTCTTCGTGACCTCATGGAAGGAAAAAGGAAGAGGGGCCGTCACCACCCCCAGCTCCTTCAAGGTCAATCCAGTCACTTCAAGGATGCCATCCATCCATCTTGCCCTTGGTCAGCCCCTCTTCCTTTTTCCTTCCATTTTCCCCAGCATCATTATCTTCTCTAAGCTTTCCTTTCTTCTCATGATGTGGTCAAAGTACTTCATCTTGACCTTTACTATCCTTCCCTCCAATGAGCAGTCGGGCTTTATTTCCTGGAGGATGGACTGGTTGGATCTTCTCGCAGTCCAAGGCACTCTCAGAACTTTCCTCCAACACCACAGCTCAAAAGCATCGATCTTCCTTCGCTCAGCCTTCCCTAAGGTCCAGCTCTCACATCCGTAGGTTACTACAGGGAATACCATGGCTTTTACTATGCCAGTATGATGTCTCTACTCTTCACTATTTTATCAAGATTGGTCATTGCTCTCCTCCCAAGAAGGAAACGTCTTCTGATTTCTGGGCTGCAATCTGCATCTGCAGTGATCTTTGCACCTAGAAATACAAAGTCTGTCATGGCCTCCACGTTTTCTCCATCTATTTGCCAGTTATCAATCATTCTTGTTGCCATAATCTTGGTTTTTTAGATGTTTAACTGCAACCCAACTTTTTGCGCTTTCTTCTTTCACCTCTGAGGATGCTTGCCATAGATGCAGGCGAAACGTCAGGAGAGAATGCCTCTAGAACATGGCCATATAGCCCGAAAAAACCTACAACAACCCACTGTTTTGGCATTGTTTGGCAGAGAAGGTTCAAGACCTTGCAAAGCTACAAATCCCATGGTTCCTTAGTACAGAGCCATGGCAGTCCAAGTAGAGCCAACCCGTATTTGTTCTCCAGAGAAGACCCATAGTCTCCTTTTGTAAATAGACCTTTTTTGTGGGGAGGGGGCAAAAGGGGTTCCAACTTTCCAGCAAAGAGGGGACCTTCCAGATTTGTATCCCTTTTTTGTTGGAGGACTAAAACTCTCAGAATTCACCCAGCCAGGATGATGGGAGTGTCAGTCCTGTAAAGAAGACCCTTCCCCAAGTTCAGAAAGGCTGCCAAGGCATCTTGGAGGATTCTGGGAGCTGCATTCCCCACAAGAGAGCAAAGTTTTGCAAAGTTAATGTATTGTCGAAGGCTTTCATGGCTGGAATCACTAGGTTCTTGTGGGTTTTTTCGGGCTATAGAGCCATGTTCTAGAGGCATTTCTCCTGACGTTTCGCCTGCATCTATGGCAAGCATCCTCAGAGGTTGAGAAGGTCTGTTGGAAGTAGGAAAAATGGGCTTATATATCTGTGGAATGGCTGGGGTGGGGCAAGGAGCTCTTCCCTGCTGCAGTTAGGTGTGAATGTTTAGCTGATCACCTTCATTAGCATTTGAAGGCCTGCCTGAGTCTGGGAAAATCTGTTGCTGGGAGGTGTTAATCTGTGCCTGGTTTTTTCCTCTCTGTTGTTACTTTTGCAAAGTTGTCCCTTGCAATAAAAGGAAATCTTTTGGAAAGTTGTCCCTTGCAAGCTGGCCGGCCCTTTGCATCCCCCAACCCTCTGCAAGGTCCTTGATACCTGAGGAAGGGAGAAAGTGCCGACCCCACACCCGGGACCCCGCTGCTGCCGCCTGAGCCGCCATCTTCTTCTGAAGGAGGCGGAGAGAAGAGGCTGGCTTTCTGGCTTGAGCCAAGCCCCTTTCCTCCCTTTGTAGGACGCGGCCCCTTTAAGAGGAGGCCTGGGAAAGACCTTAGGTTACACAGTAAGGGGTGGGTGGGGGTATAATTGGAGAGAACTATAACTCCCAAGGGCTGGGACCTGTAGTACTCCCGACCCAATCAGGCTGGGTGACTGTCCCCAAGCTGGGAAGTCTGGGTAGAGCAAAAAGGAATCCATTAAATGGGGGAAACTATAACTCCCAAGGGCTGGGAGTTGTAGTACACCGACCCAATCAGGCTGGGTGACTGTCCCCAAGCAGGGAGGCCTGGGTAGTGAAGAAAGGAGTCAATTAAATGGGGGGAACTATAGCTCCCAAGGGCTGGGAGTTGTAGTACACCCGACCCAAACAGGCTGGCTGACTGTCCTCAAGCAGGGATGCCTGGGTAGTGCTGAAAGGAGTCCATTAAATGGAGGAAACTATAACTCCCAAGGGATGGGAGTTGTAGTACACCCAACCCAAACAGGCTGGGTGACTGTCCTCAAGCTGGGGAGCCTGGGTAGAGCAGAAAGGAGTCAATTAAAATGGAGGAAACTATAACTCCCAAGGGTTGGGAGTTGTAGCACACCCGACCCAAACAGCCTAGCCGACTGCCCCCAAGCTGGGAAGCCTGGGTAGTGCAGAAAGGAGTCAATTAAATGGAGGAAACTATAACTCCCAAGGACTGGGAGTTGTAGTACACCCGACCCAATCAGGCTGGCCGACTGTCCCCAAGCAGGGAAGCCTGGCTAGTGCAGAAAGGAGTCCATTAAATGAGGGAAACTATAACTCCCAAGGACAGGGAGTTGTAGTACACCCGACCAAAGGTCTGTCAAGGCAGGAGAAACCCGGATAGTGCAAAGATTTAAGGGGGAAAGGAAACAATGGGGTACTATTCGGGGAAACTACAATTTCCAAGGTCTGGGAGTTGTAGTACACGCACACAAGGGACTGACAGTGTAAAAAAAATGAGCCCATTTTAAAACTTTCCCCCTTCCCATTCCTTTTCCAGATGGGTTTGGCTACTACAGGTCCCATCATCCCCTCGTGGGAGTCGTTCCTAGAAAGGAGAGCAGAGGGCAAAAAAAAAAAGGCAAGCCACAAACAGGCAGGACCTAGAAGGCTCAGTGCGCATGCGGCTTCCATGAGGAGTCGCGCGGGCCGTGACGTCATCGCGCCGCGCGCAGGGAATTAGGAAAGGCAGGACGGGGTTGTTTCCGGAAGTGGCGGGGTTTCAGCGGACCCCCGGCCTGACCCGACCCGGGAAGAGGCCGGGATGGAGGTCACCAGGAGCAGTGAGTGCCAAGGCGGGAGGGAAGGAAAGAGGGCCCCTGAGCATGTGCAGAGGACTTGGCGGCCTCGGGGCTTCTCCCCTTGAGGGCCTCATCGGGGTCTGAGGGGTCCCTCATCCTCAGGGAATCTTAAGCATGTGCAAAGTGCACCTAACAGGGTCCAAGGTCGTTTGGGAGGGTTTGAGGGGCTCCTCTGAGCATGTACAGAGTGCACCTATGCAGAGACCCTCTTAAAGGGTCACAGATCATATGGGGCCACTTGGGATGGTGGCATGGGAATCTCTGAGCATATACAGAGTGCACACATATATGTTGGCCATCCCCCGGGTTCCTAGATAATTTGGGGCCTGTTGGGAAAGAGGCGAAGGGGTCTCTGAGTATGTACAGAGTGCACACATACAGAGAGACCATTCTCAGGGGTCCCTGGTAAGTTAGGTGTTCTTGAGATAGTTCTCTAAGCATGTGCAGAGTGCACACATACAGAGAGACCATTCTCAGGGGAACCTGGTAATTTAGGTGTTCTTGGGATAGTTCRCTAAGCATGTAGAATGCACACATACACAGAGACCATTCTCAGGGGTCCCTGGTAATCTGTGTTCTTGAGATAGTTCTCTAAGCATGTGCAGAGTGCACACATACAGAGACCATTCTCAGGGGTCCCTGGTAATCTAGGTGTTCTTGGGGTAGTTCTCTAAGCATGTGCAGAGTGCACACATACACAGAGACCATTCTCAGGGGTCCCTGGTAATCTAGGTGTTCTTGGGATAGTTCTCTAAGCATGTGCAGAGCGCACACATACAGAGACCATTCTCAGGGGTCCCTGGTAATCTAGGTGTTCTTGGGATAGTTCTAAGCATGTGCAGCGTGCACACATACAAAGACCATTCTCAGGGGTCCCTGGTAATCTAGGTGTTCTTGGGATGGTTCTCTAAGTATGTGCAAAGTTCACACATACAGAGAGACCATTCTCAGGGGTCCCTGGTAATCTAGGTGTTCTTGGGATAGTTCTCTAAGCATGTACAGAGTGCACACATGCACAGAGACCATTTTAAAGTATCTAAGGTAATTCGGGGCCTCTTGGGAGGGAGGGAAAGAAGTCCACAGAAGTGCATCTGCATTGGAGAACTAATTGGATTTGATGGCACTTTGGCTATCCGTGTCTCAGTGCTATGGAAGCATATACAGGGTGCATACGTACAGAGGTAGAGGTCATCTTGGGATAGGATAAGGGGTTCTCTGAGCATATATGTAGCACCTGCATACACAGAGACCACTTTAAAGCATCCCAGGTAATTTGGGGCCTTTGAGAGGGAAGGAAAGAGGTATTTGAACATATACCAGGTGCATACATACATACACAGAGATCATTTTAAAGAATTCCAGGCAGTTTGGAGCCTTTTGGGATGGGACAAGGACTTCTCTGAGCATGTACAGAGTGCATATATACACAGAGACTGTCTTTAGGATCCCAGCTTATTTAGAGTCTCTGGGGATAGTAATAAGGGGTTCTCTGAGCATGTATATAGTTAATGAATACGCAGAGATGCTTTAAAGCATCTCAAGTAATTTGGGGCCTCTTAGGAGGGAGGCAAGTGGGTCTGTGAGCATATACAGAGCATATACATACAGAGAGACCATCTTGAAGAATCCCAGGCAGTTCTGAGCCTTTGGGATGGTGGCAAGGGCTCCTCTGAGCGTATACAGAGTGCATACATACCCAGAGACCCCTGTCAACGATGCGATGGACGATGCAACGGAAAAATGATTTTAGTGATGAGACTCTGAGGACTTGTGTTTTATGGTTTTGTTGTTTTATTGCTTTTATATGGTTTATATTATATGTAATGTTTTTAACTATATTTATGTTGTTTGGAGGCATTGACTGCCGACTGTAAACGGCCTCGAGTCGCCTCCGGGTTGAGAGGCACAGTATATAAATATGATAAATAAATAAATGAAGATTGGCAGGCAGTTTGGGACCTTGGTACTTCCCTCTTTGAGATGGCTAGGGGTCCTGATCTCCCCTCTAAAATAACCTCCTGCCCTAATATTTCTTACGGTCCCAAACTTGCGAGTTTTGCCTGTCAAGAAATAAATGGGTGACTGTTCTGCCTTTGCCATCTTCTTCAGTGCGTTGGGATTGTGTGTCTCTTCAGCCAGGCTGCCTGGGATGAGTGATGGGTGTTGCGATCTAGAGGCATCATGCCAGGTTGGGTTGAGTTGCAGGAAGGGTTCTGAGTTTTCTTTTGGCTGGTAAAGGATCTATCTTCAAAGCCTTTGTCGAGAAGCCTCCAGTGCTGACTGCATCTTGCTCTTTGCACCTGCTCTGAGACATTTGTTGTATTGCAGGGAAGATAACAGGAAGAGTACCCCCAGAGGCCATGTAGTCCAACCCAATGGTCCTCCAGCTGAAGTATCCCCAGCAGCAGGGAGCTGTCCAGCCTTTTTTTTAAACGTCCAGAGAATGAGCCCTTACAGTTGGCTCCATTGTCACTCTTATTGTCCAGAAACTCTTTCTAAGATTCTCTCTCTTTTTTATTCCTACAGATTTTAAGGATAATCTCAACAAAGTCTATGAAGCCATTGAGGAGGCAGACTTCTTGGCTATCGATGGGGAGTTTTCAGGTACAGAGTCCGCAGAAGTGCATCTGCACTGGGGAACCAATTCGGTTCGACGGCACTTTGGCTATCTATGGCTTAATGCTATGAAACCACTGGTGTTGTAATTCGCACCCTTTTGCAGAGAAGGCTGAAGACCTTGCAAAGCTGCAACTCTTACAATTCCATAGCCTTGAGCCATGGCAGTCAAAGTGGTGTCACACGGAATTCATTCTGCAGTGCAGCTGCCCCCGTAGAGTTTGAGCCGATATTGTGGTCTGCTGTTCCAGACTCAGAGCCTTAAACTGAGGAAAAGAACAATCTGTTTTATGCTTTTATAGGAATCAGTGATGGGCCGTCAGTTAGCGCCTTAACAAATGGCTTTGACACACCAGAAGAAAGGTACCAGAAGCTTAAAAAGGTAAAAATCTTAATGTTTTCCCCATTACGGTTTATGTTTTTGAAATGTTTTGAGTTGTAGGAATGCAATATCCATGCCTTGGATGACTTTCCATGGCCAAGTGTGGGAAAATATTGATCACTAAATGGGCAATTGATGTAGGATAAGTCATTGTATGAAATAGGGGACAACTGATTTTTCTGACAGTAATACAGTGGAATCTCGACTTAAAAGTATCTCAACTTAAAAGCACTTTGAGCTAAGAGCCATTTCTCACCCCTTTGAGTTCAGAGGGAGCGCTAGCACCAGAGTTGAGGGCTTTAGAGCGTCAAGGGGACAGCCTCCAGGTGTGCTCTTGTCTGCTTTGGGAGATTGCTATCTGCTGTGCTCTTGTCCGCTTTGAGGAACTTTAAGTTAGTTGATTTTGTGTGGTTTTTATTCCTGGTATGTTTGGCTTCATGAAGAGGGAGGGGGGAGGGGGGAGAGAGTTAAACTCTTAACTCAAGGTATCACTGTATTCGCAAGAACAGTTTTTATTGGAATAGAGTTTTTCTGAAGTTGTTTTTATATTACTGTTATTATTGTTGTTGTTGTTGTTATCACCACTATAGTATCGTTGTTGTCATTGTTACCTCTATATTACTACTACTATTACTACTGATATTATTATATTGTTGTATTCTATTCTTATTATTATTTTCTGACAGCAATATTTGCAAGAAGAGTTTTTATTGGAATGGAGTTTTCCTGAAGTTGTTAGTTGTTTTTATATTATTATTATTATTATTATTATTATTATTATTATTATTATTATACCACTATATTATTGTTATTATTATTATTACTGTTATCACTATATTATTATTATTATTACCGCCGCTATATTATTATATTGTTATATTATATTCTCTTACTATTATTTTCTGACAATATTTGCAAGAATAGTTTTTAACGGAATGTGGGTTTCCTGAAGTTGTTAGTTGTATTATTATTATTATTATTATTATTATTATTATTATTATTATTTCTATATTATTACTATTGTACTGTTGAAGATGACAAAACATGAACCAAATTGTCCGATCTCCTCAGAGTTGCTCTGAATTCCTTGATCACACTGTTGTCTTTTCCCCTTCTTTAGCATTCCATGGATTTTCTGCTGTTCCAGTTTGGCCTTTGCACTTTTAAATATGACCTTGCAGAATCTAAGTGGGTGACTTTCTTGATTTATTCCTTCTTTCAAAACTGCTTACTCTAAACTGTCCATTGACTTGCCTTCCTATATGTTTCTGTAGGTACATCATGAAATCATTTAATTTCTACATCTTCCCCAAACCTTTCAACCGAACGTCGCCAGATGTCAAGTTTGTCTGTCAGGTCAGTTAAGAAAATGTGGTTCAAATGGGTATTTACTTGCTTCCTTCCGATTCCATAAAACAGGAGAAATCCAAAGCAGTAATATAATAAAATTGGTAATTATAGGCTGGAAAGTTTGGTTTTATCTCTCTCTGAAAGTCATTCAACAACAACAAAAAAGGATGCGAGTAATGGAATTAAAAAATTAAACAATCAATATGCCTTGTGTTATGCTCTGTAGTCCATATTCCTGTATTGCAGTCCTCCAAAATTCAGACTGGGGCTATTATTGCAGTCGATTTAATTTAGCTTTATTGTATGCACTCGTGTTTTTATTGATTTTTTTAAAAAAAATTCTGAGCTTCTTGGAGAAAGCAATATTATTACCATAATGAAGGAATGCGAATAAAGATCTTTCTTTCTTTCCTTCCAGAGTTCAAGCATAGACTTTTTAGCAAACCAAGGATTTGATTTTAATAAAGTGTTTCGCAATGGTAAGCTTTCGTTTTGTATCGGGAAAGGTTACTGCGAAGATTCCAGCCTCTCTTTTTTAAAGAGAAAAAGTGGGATATAATAATAATAATAATAATGACATTTCAATGAATTTTTTTTTATTTGTGGGTTTCTCTGTTTGTGTGCCCTTAATCATTGTGATAGTGGAAGGCTCCTATTGTTCTCCTTCAGTGTAGAAAGAGCATGCTTCCTTCTATGACTGAACTGCACCTCCCATAATCCCCAGTCATTTGGCTGGTATTTGAAGTCCAAAACAATTGGAAGTCACCAAGTTGAGGATCTTCAACATGCTTTCAGTTTTGCATGTATATGTGATCGGCACATTGGGTGAAGTCCCTAAAGACCTTGGCCTGTACTTAAACACAATCAGCACTGACAAAATTACTATCTGCCAGCTGCAGAAGGCACCTTACTGGGATCTGCATGCATTATTCCCTGGTACATCACACAGTCCTAGACACTTGGGAAGTGTCCGACATGTGATCGAATACAAAAGCCAGCATAATTATCTTGTTTGCTGTGTACTAATCTTGTTGTGTTTCAAATAATAATAATAGAGAGATCCAAAGCATTCATAATTATCGGCTGGAAAGTTTGGCTTTCTCTCTCTATGAAAGTTGTTCACCAAGCAAGCAGCGATTAATCGAATTAACAGCCTTGTGTTGTAATATGTAGTTTATGTCCTTATATTGCAATTTATAATTTAAAAATACAATACAAAAGTATTCAAAAAGTATAACAATATAACAACAACAACAACAATAATAATAGATGAGGAGGAGGAAATCCCAGTCCATTCATGCATTAACTAGCCAATAATAATAATAATAATAATAATAATATGCCAATTCATGCATGTATTAATCAGATCTCACCAATAGTAGGAGTAGAAGTAATAATAGTAATAATAAAGAAACCCTGGTCCATTCATTAATTAACAAGTACAACAGCAACAACTGAAAGATTGATCTATACCAGGCCAGCATCGCCTATGTGTTTCGGCTCCAGAATTCCTCACCATTGGACAATGTTCACCAATTGGGCTCTTTTTATGAGAGAGAGTCCCTTTTAAGTGACATAATAATAATAATAATAATAATAATAATAATAATAATAATAATAATAATAATAAAAAATTTATAACCTGCCCTATCTCCCTGTGAGACTCAGGGCGGGTTCCAATGAAAGAGGCAAACATTTAATGCCAATAATAATAATGGTGATAACTATAACAACAGTAAAGTTGGTGGTCTATATCAGGCTGGCATAGTCTGTGGGTGTTTTGAGCTTCAGTTCCCAGAATCCCAGGGCATTGGACAACGTTCACTTTGAGTCCCTTTCAAGAGAGTATCTCTTTTAAGCATTATTATTATTATTATTATTATTATTATTATTATTATTATGGCTTCAGCTTCCAGGATCTCTGGCCATTGGACAAAGCTGGCCATAGGGCTTCAGGGAGCCAGCGTCCCAAACCTCTGGAGGGCCTCAGTTTGTGCAGGCCTGATTGGCAGGTGTCCCATGGGTTCTGAGGTTGCTCTTTTCCCTGTGGGCTTTGTCCTTTCCACTTCCAAGCTGGGCCCCGAGACCCCTCTCTTCCTCTCTTCCCAGGGATCCCGTATTTAAATCAAGAGGAGGAGCGGCAGCTGCAGGAGCAGTACGAGGAGAAGCGCTCGCAGGCCGGCCGGGTGGGCAGCCTCTCCTTCACCTCCCCCAATGCCCAAAGCAAGTGTCCGGTCACTATCCCAGAGGACCAGAAGGCCTTCATTGACAAAGTGGTGTAAGCAGATGCAAGGGATGTAATGGCAGAGCTTTGGGGGGCATTGCAGCTCCCAGAATCCCCCAGTAGGCCCCGAGGACACACAATTCTTGTTCCTGGGCTATAAATGTCATTTCCTAATTGGTTTTTCCATAAAAACATGGAAAAAGTTTATTAAACTGCAAAAACTTTGTCTTTGTGGGAGGGACATCCTGTAGCAAACTATTTTGTGGGCGGGACATCCTGCAGCAATTGTTTTTTCATAAATTCCATAAATTTCTCATTGAGTCTCAACCAATTCAACATAGTTTGTGGCAGGCACAAAACCCAAGTTTCTGGAGTAGAACAACTACTTTAGAAGTAAGCACAATTAAATAGAAAATAACACTTTCAAGATAGAAAAAGGTTTTTTTTTCAAATTTTGTTACATAGTGGTTCTTTCTTTCTTTCCCCTTCTGGTGGGTCTCCAGTGCAAAATATGGTGCTCATCTTGCCCTTTTCTCTCCCCTGTTCCCAGAGACAGAGTCGACACTCTCCTGCAGAACGAAGAAAACACCAGTTTGGAGCTGGAGCCCTGCACAGGGTCAGTTCGCCCAAAAGGAATAGCAAGGGAAGGCATCATAGCCATCTCAAAAGATTGGAAATTGTCCTTTTGATGCTTGAAAAACCTTTCTCGTTCTCCCTCCAGATTCCAGAGGAAACTTATTTACCAGACGCTCAGCTGGAAGTAAGTGTCTCTTGTTATTGAGCCGCTGCAGAGTGGGAGGGATTGGGACAAGCCTCATTGACCCATTATTAGATGAGCCCCCTGTGATGTAATGGGTTAAGCCCTTGTGCCAGAAGGACTGCTGACTGAAATTTGATCAGTGGTTTGAATTTGGGAAGCGGGGTGAGCTCCTGTCTACCAGCTCCAGCTTCCCATGCAGGGACATCCCCTGGCCTCTCCTTGTAACTACATAATAAAGGATATGTTGAATAATCCTTTATTTTTTCCCCACTTGGCTTCAGGTATCCAAAAGGCATCCATGTGGAAACTCTGGAAACAGAGAAGGTAGTGTTCGCTTATTGTTATGTCTGGGAATTTCTTTGAGGGGTCTTTGGGGCTACAAATTGTATTCATTGATGAGAATTTCTATCTAATATTTTGAATTATTTCCATAACGATGTTTGTGGTTGCAAGATGGACTGGGAGCTGAGCAATGGCTGTATTGGAAAAGCAACTATATTTGTGTGTTTGTTGTTATTGAAAAATTTGCTAAGAAGCAAATGGCTCAGATCTTCAAATCCCACTTGATATAATAATAATAATAATAATAATAATAATAATAATAAGCAATGAATGTGAAGATGGCAGGTCATTCCTGTAAGATATCACAATAAGGCCCAGCATAGTTAAAAATATCACCATACGGCAGTGTAAAATACGGGAAACAGAGTTACAAATTACAGAACAATATATAAGACAAGTGGTAGAGACAATAGGGATGACAAGGAATACAAAAGTAAGAGAAATGAAGAGGAAAATATTACATAAGTGGTATCGTACACCCTGTCAATTAGTGTATTATTATAAAAAGGGGAGCAGTCAATGCTGGCATGGATGTCAACGGAAAATGTGATTTATGTACATGATGTGAGAATGCGAACAGGTACAACACTTCTGGAAGACTATACTATATGTGTCAAACCAAATAACAAAAGTGATAACAAAAGAAATGACGGTCTTAGTGCAAAGAGAGGGAATGGGAAATTACAGGGAAATAAAGAAAGCAATAATTGAGTGCACACAAGCAGTGATAATATTGGGATGGAAAGACACATCAAAGTGGGCAGTAAATAAATGGTATCAGTATATGGTGGACCAAATGGAATTCGAAATTATGGATGTAAAATTAGATGATTCAAAATATAAGGAAAATAGAATACGAGAAGTTGAAGAAAGATGGAACCAGATCAAGAATTATATTATGTATAAGTCTAGAGATCAGGCCATCTATATAAATAAAAATATAATGTTTGTTTGTGGGATTAACATAACTCAAAAACCACTGGATGAATTGACAACAAATTTGGACACAACAATACACCTATCAGGCCAACAAGTGACCATCACTCAAAAAACAAAACAAAAAAAACCCAAAAAAAAACAACCACTGACAAACACAGCGGAAGAGACTTAAAAAGCCAAAAAACAAAAATTACATTACGACGCATGTGCAAAACCACATATACACATATACACAAATATATACACACACATATACACACACAAAACACATACACACAGACTGGGCCACAGCAACGCATGGCAGGGGATGGCTAGTGAGAAATAAGATACAAATGTTATATAGTATGTAAATCTATAAGAATTGTCTCAAAAAGGATTAATATGTAAAAGAAAATAATCCTCGTGGTGGTGGTGGGAATTGTCAGTGTTGTGTATGTGTATGTCCTAAAATTATATATATATGCAGTGTAAAATACATACATTAAAATGTATTTCTATGACACACATATGTTAAAATACACTAAACAAAGATTAAATACTGTAAATGCAGGCAATGAGTTTAAAATGCATAGAAAGTGCTGTGGCCTTACACTTCATTCTGAACAATAATGTATCTTTCTGGGACCTTAGAAGGAGCGCTACATCATCGTCAGCAAAGTCGACGAAGAGGAGCGCAAGCGGCGGGAGCAGCAGCGGCAAGTGAAGGAGCAGGTCTGTGGCCCCAAAAGGAACCCATAGCTCTTAGAGGGGAGCCCCAAGGCGCAAATTGCCAGAACTGTCCCTTTGAGGCTTTGCATCATAGTCTCATTGGCCCTTTTTTTGTTCCCAGGAGGAACTGAAGGACGCCGTGGGCTTCTCCCGAGTGATTCACGCCATGGCCAATTCCGTACGTCAATCTCTTTCATTCAACACCACAGGGTCATGTTGTTTCTACCTTGTTGAGTTGCCCCCTTGCTATCCTAACAGTTTTCCTACCTTTCATCTTCAGGGAAAACTCGTGGTTGGGCACAACATGCTGCTGGATGTCATGCACACCATCCACCAGTTCTATTGTCCGCTGCCAGAGGTAGGTCATGGCTTCAACAACCATAAACAGGAGGATTGAAGCCATGTGTTGAACACAAAGAGAGGCGAGAAGTAAACAAACAAATGAATAACAACTATTATTATTATTATTATTATTATTATTATTATTATTATTATTATTATTGAACCCACGTCTTGAATGTAAGGAAAGGAGAGCCGGGTAATAAATAAATTAAGATTGTTAGTGTTACAGAACCCATGTCTTGAACTCAGGGAGAGGCGGGCAGTAAATAAATAAATAAATAAATAAATTGTTGTTATTGAACCCATATCTTGAACACAAGTAGAGGCTGGCTAATAATAATAATAATAATAATAATAATAATAATAATAATAATAATAATAATAATAATTCATTTGGCCTCCTTAGCAAAAGGTTCATCCAAAAGTTCTTATTTTATCATTATCATTATTATTCATTTATTACTGGAGAAATTATACTGTTTAGCCAGTATTGCACCACCTGACATCTCTCGGGAAGTAACAACCTGTAATGAAAGGACCAAGGCAGTGACATTTCAGGCCCATCTTCTGCCGGCATGCCAATGGCTTAAATCAAGAAACAGCTTCCTAAGCTCTACAGAGATACAGGAACACCTCAGCAAGCAAGAGTACAAAAGTAGCAGGTAAAAACCTAGAACCTCAATCAGTGGCTGAGAGTGGATGAGAAACTCCCTCCTGGGCATACAGAATTGGGAGGCGCTGAACAGACTGTGCTCTGGCACCACGAGATGTAGAGCCAAAGTTAAGAAATGGAGCTACAAAGTGGAGTCTGCAACATGCGAGTGTGGAGAGGAGCAAACCACAGACCACTATAATACAGCCTGAGCCCTGCCTCATGTACAATGGAGGACCTTCTTACAGTGACACCAGAGGCATTCCCAAGTGGCCAGCTTCTGGTCAAAGGAAATTTAGTATAATGCCAAGTATTTAACTTCGTTTTTGATTTTTATATACATTATAACTGTATTCTCAATTTGCTTCTGATATGATAAATAAAAACAAGTATTTATTCTAATTTCTCCCCATAGGGACTCTAGGTGACTCCCAATTACATGACACAACTCAATAAATTTAGAAACATGGCAAATACAAACATGAAAAGCAGTTACATATTATTAAAACCCAATAAAACCATATGTACAAATAAAATTAAGTTTAAAACTAAATATTTTCCCCAGATGTATATTAGCAGTTCCGTTTCCTAATTATCCTAATTAGCATGGAGTTTGCCATACACTTTTTTATATGCTCCTATTGCCTTGGGTGTCAGTAATCCGAGTGTTTTGACTTTTTAGGACCTCAGCGAGTTCAAGGAGCTGACGACATGTGTTTTCCCAAGGTCAGACACGGAAATTTCTCCTAATTTGGTGGGGCATCTTTTTACAAAAGAGCCGCCTTTAAAGATTTGGGAATATTTTATTTCTTGTAGGTTGCTGGACACAAAACTGATGGCTACCACTCAGCCCTTCAAGGTAAGTGGAAGTCATTCTCTCAGCCTCAGAGGAAGGCTACCTTTCTCTGAACAGATCTTTCCAAGGAAACCCAATGAAAGGGTTCCCATAAGTCAGAAACGACTCAAAGGCACACAAGAACAACAACAGAAGTTCTGTTGTTGGTACTCATTGAACCAATTGAATTAAACTGTGACACAATTTTTGTTCCTGCATTATGTCATTTCCTAATTGGTTCTATCATAAAAACATAGGGAAAGTTTATTAAATTGCAAAAATATTGTGGGAGGGGCATCCTGCAGCACAATTTGCTAGAGTTTTTCCATGAATATCTCACAGAATCTCAACTGATTCATCCTAGTTTGTGGCAACCACAAAAAAGACATTTCTGGAGTAGAACGACTACTTTCAAAGTAAGGACTGCACAATTAAACAGGAAATAACACTTTCAAACCAGGAACATTAAAAAAACTGGGAGAAGTAGGTGTTTTGTTTTCTGCATGTTTAGTTGAATTCGTTGACGATTAATCCTCCATGTTGTTTTTACCAAAAAGCACTTGCTTCCAAAGGTTTGATGTCCTGCTTCCTTGGCTTCTTGAAAACCCATGTTGTCTGTCTTCTGCTTTCAGGACCTCATCAACAACACTTCTTTGGCAGAGCTGGAAAAGCGGGTGAAGGAGACCCCCTTCAGCCCCCCAAAAGTCGGTAAGGAAACTTACTTATGGGAAGTAATGGAGGGGGCCTTTGGGAACACCACAGAACAAGAGAGGATTCCTCTCCGCTGGAATGATACTTCCTTTAGAGACAGGAAGCGATTGAAGGGACACCTTGTTGGTCCTTTTAAAACATTTGTTGGCCTCAAAGTAATCTCTTTGTGCATCCAACCTTCCGGTTCCTTTCCTCTTCCCTGGGTAGCTATAATGTTTGTTTACTTGAGAGCAGTGGGTCCCATCCTTTAAGAGGCTGCAGACCATTGAGGTCCTGGAGGCTTTTCTTTGCCCCAGAGCGTGGTTGAGGCTCCTTCTTTGGAGGCTTTTAAACAGAGGCTGGATGGCCATCTGTCGGGGGTGCTTTGAGGGCGACTAAAATGATCAAGGGTCTGGAGAACAAGCCCTATGAGGAGCGGCTTAGGGAACTGGGCATGTTTAGCCTGAAGAAGAGAAGGCTGAGAGGAGATATGATAGCCATGTATAAATATGTGAGTGGAAGCCACAGGGAGGAGGGAGCAAGCTTGTTTTCTGCTTCCCTGGAGACTAGGACGCGGAACAATGGCTTCAAACTACAAGAGAGGAGATTCCATCTGAACATTAGGAAGAACTTCCTGACTTTGAGAGCCGTTCAGCATTGGAACTCTCTGTCCCGGAGTGTGGTGGAGGCTCCTTCTTTGGAAGCTTTTAAACAGAGGCTGGATGGCCATCTGTCAGGGGTGATTTGAATGCAATATTCCTGCTTCTTGGCAGGGGGTTGGACTGGATGGCCCATGAGGTCTCTTCCAACTCTTTGATTCTATGATTCTATTAATGCAATTTTCCTGCTTCTTGGCAGGGGGTTGGACTGGATGGCCCATGACGTCTCTTCCAAGTCTATGATTCTATGAAGCAAAACTGGAGACATTGTGGACCATTTAGATCCCATCCGGGTTCAACATGCTCCCTTCCTTTTTCCTTCCCTTTCCCTCCCTCCCTTCGGCTTTCATTTCCTTTCCTTTCTCTTCCTCTTTCCTTTCTCTTTCCTTTTTCCTTCCCTTTCTCCTTCTTTCCCTTCAATTTCCCCTTTCCTTCCCCCTTTCCCTCCTCTTTCCCTTTCTCCTTTCCTTTCCCCTGCTTCTTCACAAGGAGTCAGGAATGATGGAGCTGTCTGTCGCAACTAACAGTTTACGAAAGGCTTTTTGCTAAGTAATTGCAAGGATCTGAACCATTTTCTTACCACAGTAAAGCAGCTGCTACATCTTAGTTGGGTGTGTTATCTGCTCACTGTCTAAAACAAAGCAGTAATTTGGGTGTTGCAAGTTTTTCGGGCTGTATGGCCATGTTCCAGAAACATTCTCTCTTGATGTTTCGCCGCATCTGTGGCAGGCATCTGTGGAGAATGCTTCTGGAACATGGACATACAGCCCGAAAAACTAGTGATTCCAGCCATGAAAGCCTTCGACAATATACTAAAGCATTCCGTTTGTAGTTGTTAGCTTGGCTTTGTTTAGAGCTAGTAGCTCGTCGGAGCTAGAAGCAGCATGTGGCTGTTTTGTTGCTGGGAGCTGACATGTGGTGTTTGGAAGCTGGAAACCTAAACTACAAATCAATGGCATCTTATTTTCAACATAGAAGACTGAACTGTGTCCTACTTTTGTTTTTCTGTCATCAAAGAAAGACAGCTCACTGAAGAAAGTGTTTGTTGTCATACTGTGGTGGGATCAACTATTCTGATTTACTTTGTGTTACTGTTGAACTAAAGTGAGTGATCTATTTTCTTTTCTACTTAAAGCCACAGCTGACTCATGTGTATTTTTGAGTTCAGGGTTACACAATATTTAAAGGGGCTGGAATATCTTTAACAGGATATGTGCTTGCTTTCGCGATCTGCTGTCACCAGTCTGACACTCTCCCTGGCCTCCACCTTCACTGGCCTGTAGGCTTTGACCTCCTTCTCTTTGCAATCCAGGCTGCAAATGGGGCTTCCTTCCTTGCCTCAAAAGCAGGGAAAGAATCAAGGACACGCCATATCTCTTTGCTTAGTGTTGAGCCCTTCCTTCCTTCCTTCTTTCTTTGGTTGCTCTTGAGGAGGCTGTTGCTGCTGTAAGAGCCTCGTTCGCAATCTTCCCCTTGCAACCCAGCCACCTTCTCGTGTCGTTTTGGCCTGCAAAGGGGGCTCTGGCAGCAACATCTTCCTCAAGAGCAAGCAAGGAAGGAAGACTGGGTTGTTGTAGGTTTTTTCGGACTATATGACCATATTCTAGAGATACTCTCTCCTGACGTTTCGCCTGCATCTATGGCAAGCATCCTCAGAGGTAGTGAGGTCCTGAGGATACTTACCATAGATGCAGGCGAAACGTCAGGAGAGAATGCCTCTAGAACATGGCAATATAGCCTGAAAAAACCTACAACAACCCAGTCATTCCGGCCATGAAAGCCTTCGACAATACAAGGAAGGAAGAGTCCAACGCTGGGGGAAGAGAGGGAGCGGGAATGGTGGTGTTGGATCCTTCCAAGGAAGGAAGCTTTTCTGTCTCTCACAGACCATCTGTGGACCACAAACCACTCCTTGGGAACCACCATTTTGAGGAGACGTTAGCTAAAAGGCTTGTTTACTAAGACCCCATCTACACTGCCTCAGGATCCAGTTCAATCTGCATCATAATGGCAGTTTAGGTGGGGCCTAAATGAAGTAACAGACTTTGAAAGGCATGTTTCCCTCTTTGCTCAGAAACGGCGGAAGACTTCCCCAGTTATGACACGGCTTCGGAGCAGCTGCACGAGGCTGGATATGACGCCTACATCACCGGCCTGTGCTTCATCTCCATGGCAAACTATCTGGGTGCGTTCGTTGTCTTCTCAGTCCAATAATGATAATAACAATAGTAATAATAACCCACCTCTCTCTGCGGCTCGAGGCAGGATACAACTTCATTCAGGCAAGAGATAAAATACTATGAAAGGATGCACAGTTAAAATGCAAGTTAAATCCACTGATGAAATGCAAACTTAAAATTCATAACTTAAAATTGCATGCAATGTGTTTATCGTTTCGTCTTTGTTGCCACCGTCATTCCTTGGAATTTGGGACAATAAATGGGTTGAAATTGGTATGGGAATCCAGCAAAAGGAGAAATAGAAGGAGATCTATTTGGTAAGACATAGAAGCCATTTATTTGCTTCATGTATACAAGCAAAGGGAAATAAAAAGAATATGATGACATTAAGCTATAAAGTTACCGTATATACTCAAGCCAACCTGGATATAAACCGAGGGTCCTAATTTTACCACAAAAATACTGGGAAAACGTATTGATTTGAGTATAAGACCAAGGTGGGAAATGCACCAGTTACTGGTAAATTTCAAAATAAAAACAAATAACAATAAAATTACATTAATAGAGGCATCAGTAGGTTAAATGTTTTTAATATTTACATAAAATTTAATTTAAGTACGCCCAACTCCGATTAAAACATTATTCTAACCTTCAATGTAAATGTGCTTCGTATCCTTGAGTAGATCAATAGGTACCACTCCGGTGGGAAGGTAACGGCGCTCCATGCAGTCATGCCGGCCACATGACCTTGGAGGTGTCTACGGACAATGCCGGCTCTTCAGTTTAGAAATGGAGATGAGCACCACACCCCAGAGTCAGACATGACTGGACTTAATGTCAGGGGACAACCTTTACCTTACTTTTTATCCTTCCAATAATAATAAAGAGAGTACAATAATAAATGTAATAAAAACAATAATAATAGAGTAAAATAATGGAAATGTAATAATAACAGTAATAATAGAGTAAAATAATAAATGTAATAATAATAAAGACATCTTTAAATGGTGTATTTTAATATTGAGATAAATGTTTTTAATGTTTATGTATGTGCATTTGAATTCTTGTCTCGGCATTGAATGTTTGCCGTATATATGCTGTGCTCCACCCTGAGTCCCCTTCGGGGTGAGAAGGGCGGAATATAAATGTTTTAAATAAATAAATAAATAAATAATGTAATAAAAATAATAATAGAATAAATAATGTAAATGTAATAACAATAATACATTGTAATAATAATAATAATAATAATAATAATAATAGAGTAAAATAATAAATGTAATAATGTAAAAATAATAATTGAGTAAAATCATGTAAATGTAATAACAATACTAAATTGTAATAATAATAAATAGAGTAAAATAATAAATGTAATGAAAATAATAATAAGAGTAAAATAATATAATAATAATTAGAGTAATATAATGTAATACAAATGAGTAAAATAATGAATCAATCTGACCTTTAAAAAGGGCTGAAAAACCTGGCTTATACTTGAGTATAAATGGTAACCTATAAACTAAGATGAGTGAAAGTAGAAATAGAAAGAGATCTGTTTGATACTTCATGGAAGCCTTTTATGAGCTCCATGTACAAACTCAACCCACCAAATTCAACCCACCAAATGATCAAGAAAGACTGGAGGAAAATATTTTACAACAATTATATGTCATGGGTGAAACTAGAATAAGTTGTAGTATGGAATGGACAGAGCTGTGTTGTATGCAATGCTATGCTGAGGGAGGCCACTGTATTATAGGAAATGTTCTGAAATTAGGTAATAAACCTTCCCAAAAAGACCAATAATTTGTTAAAAATAGTTTTAGGAAAGAAATCTTACATTTTTAAACATTATCTTCCACTCACTAGGTTCCTTCCTCAGTCCCCCAAAAAACCACGTCTCTGCAAGATCAAAGCTCATTGAGCCTTTTTTCAACAAGTGAGTCACCTTTCCTTGTCACCCAATGCATGATCCCTATGGCTTTTATCGCTTACTATCTTAGGAACCTGGGTTAGGTATTTTCTTTGCTATTTATTAGAAATAGTCAATTGTTGTTTTTGGATTTTATGAATAGTCCCATTATAAAATGTACAAGGATGTGAGCAGAGTACAACTCTCATCATTTTGGATCCATCCCCCACAAACACTGGCGAGAATTTCGAATATGTCATGATGGGCCTGTATACTAAGTTGGGACCAGATCCATCTCTTTGGAAGCATTCCCTGAAAGTGGGTGAACTACAAATCCCATCATCCAGGGTCAGTTCACCCCCCTCAAACTGCTCCAGCCCTTAAAGTGGGTCTTTAGGGGCTCTGTGTGCCACGTTTGGTCTAGATCTGTTGTTGACAGGAGTCACAGGGCTCTCTGGATGCGGAAATCACTTTGGAAAATACATTCAAACAGAGATAGATACAGAGAGACATATTTTGATTGTGGTTATATACAGGCCGTGCCCAAGTTACAAAAAAGGGAGATTCTTTAGGTTTGCTCTCAAGTTGAATTTGTAAGTCGGAACAGGGACATTTTTAAAGGGTAGCTCCAGCTCTCTCTCTTGCTCTCTCTCTCCATATATATATGTGTGTGTGTATATATATACATGGTGTGTGTGTGTGTATATCTATCTATCTATCTATCTATCTATCTATCTATCTATCTATCTATCTCGGGGGGCCCTGGTGGTGCAGTGGGATAAACCGATGAGCTGCTGAACTTGCTGACCAAAAGGTTGGCGGTTTGAATCTGGAGAGCAGGATGCGCTCCCGATGTTAGCCCCAGCTTCTGCCAACCTAGCAGTTCGAAAACATGCAAATGTGAGTAGATCAATAGGTATTGCTTCTATGGAAAGCTTCTATGCTGGCCACATGACCTTGAAGGTGTCTACAGACAACACCGGCTCTTCGGCTTAGAAATGGAGATGAGCACCACCCCTCAGAGTCGGATTCGACTAGACTTAATGTCAGAGGAAAACTTTACCATCCATATATATATATATAGAGAGAGAGAGAGAGAGAAAGTGTGTGTGTGTGTGTATATCGCATAGGGAAGGATTAGCACCCCTGTGTGGTGTTTGTTTTGCTGCCTGTGCCTCTGTTGAGAAGATTTCATTGCACTTTCTGTCCCTGCGATGATTGGATTTTGGAAAATATGGCTTGTTGTGGAAACAAGGATCGGAGATAAAGCTTCAATGGAGACCCCTTTTCCCCATGATCATAATCCTTCCAGGAGTGGATTTCCCTTCCAAGGGGAAGATCTCCCTCACTTCCTGTTGTCTCAGTCCTGTTCTTAACTAGAAGTCATTTGTAAGTTGGATGTTTGTAACTTGGGGATGGCCTGGACATATATAGATTCCTTGATGCTCCTCCGGTTGAGATCGAATCTGTGAGAATGAGTTAATGTGTCTTCAAGACAGGGGTCCTTTCTGGGCCTAAATGACATCACTGGGAATTGTGGATCTGCTGAGTGCTTTGTAGTCACCTCTTCCTTCCTCTCTGTGTCATTCAACCCCACACTGCTCAAGTCTGTAGTCCTCAATGAGAAGCAGATAGATAGAATTAAGCTAGGCTAAGGGAATCCCTTCTTTCCCCCTCATTCCTGAATGCCTGTTGTTGTTCTGTTTTCTCTCACTCTCTCTCCTGTCTCCTCCATCCTAACTCATGACTAGAATGGAACTTCTTCGGGATGCATGTTCCTTTGTTTTAAGACCTCGTGGTCATTCATTCTTTCATTCGCCTCCCTTTCATGCTGGTCTTTTCAGTCTGTGTCTCTCTCTCTCTCGTTGTATCTGAATGGGACCATAATGTCTTTAGAGATTTCCCCCTTTTTTTGCACGTAGAAGTCATGAAATTATAGAGAAAACTTAGACCCAACTCTTTTCTATCAAGTAGTTCTTACGTTTTATCAATAAACCCTTTGAAAAGTTTAAGATTGAACTCTGCCCCTTGCTTCCTTAAGCTCAAGAATTCCTTACGGTCATACTATATCACTGCTGCTTGCTGTGAGCTGAATGCTTTGCTAAGTATTGTATTTCTTAAACAACTCTGCTATTTTGGGGAATTTCCTTAAGAGAAAGAGAGTCCAAATCCGCAAGTGACTTTCCCCCCTTTCACTTCAGGTTGTTCCTGATGCGGGTGATGGACATCCCGTACCTGAACCTGGAAGGGCCAGACTGTGAGTTGACATTTTTGTTATTATTATTAATATTTATTATTTATATAAAATGATATAACAAATGCAACCAAAATACAATCATAACAAACACAACGAACGGGGATTTTAACAAAGACATAGTTTTATAATTTTTATTATTCACTGTTTTTATGGTTTTAAATGCATTGTGATGGGGGTTTTTTTTGCTTTTTATTGATGTATGTCTTTTTATATAAGGAATCTAATTGTTGCCAACTTGTACGCCGCCCTGAGTTGCCTTCAGACTGATATGGGTGGGATACAAATATCATTTTATATATATATATATATATATATATATATACACACACACACACACATACATACACACACGCTCTGTGCATAATGAGTACCTTAAAAACAAAAGAACCAATGAACAAAATCACACCAAATTTGGCAACAAGGAGTGACCATCAATCAAAAAAATATGGTTTTGTCATTTGGAAGTTGTAGTTGCTGGGATTTATAGTTCACCTACAATCAAAGAGCAGTCTGAACTCCACCAACTATGGAATTGAACCAAACTTGGCACACAGAACTCCCATGACCAACAGAAAATACTGAAAGGGTTTGGTTGACCTTGAATTTTGGAATTGTAGTTCACCTACATCCAGAGAGCACAAAACATCACCTGTGAACTTACCATCTAGGACTTCGGTTGACACTTACTGATTTTATACCATATAGTACCTACCCTTGTAAATTCCTTAAAATATTCCCCTTGCTGCTTCCATAAAATTCACTTTTGCCTTTCTTTCAAAATATATACAAAAGCTACCCCCCATTTATTTGCAAACTCTTAATTATTTTTACCTCATAGTCCATTAGCTTCCTGGTGGCATAGCGGTTTAAACCCCTGAGCTGCTGAACTTGCTGACTGAAAGGTTGGTGGTTCGAATCCAGGAAGCAGGGTGAGCTTCTGCTGTTAGTTCCAGCTTCTGCTAACCTAGCAGTTCGAAAACATGCAAATGTGAGTAGATCAATAGATACTGCTCCAGCGGGAAGGTAACAGCGCTCCATGCAGTCATGCAGCCACATGACGTTGGAGGTGTCTACGGACAACGCTGGCTCTTTGGCTTAGAAAAGGAGATGAGCACCAACCCCCAGAGTCGGACACGACTAGACTTAATGTCAGGGAAACCTTAGATAGATACAATAATTTTCATATATATGAAACCTGTATAAACAAGGTTTGGAATTGTTTTCCTTTACGCTTTTGATGTCCTATAGTTGATTCCTGTGTAGTTTCCTCTCTAGCCGCTCCATGGAGTTAATTATAAACATGGTTGTCAACAGATTTTCCTTTCTTAATTAGAAACTTTATCCATTTTAGTGGCAATTACTGCAACTTAATCCGCAAATTATACAAATCATTAAAATAATAACAGTACCTACATTTGAATAGCTCCAGCACTCCCAATTCTGAAGTAATTCAACTTCTGTAGAAGGTTTTAAACAGAGGCTGGGATGACCATCTGTCGGGTCTGCTTTGGTTGTATCTTCTTGCTTGGTAGAAGGGGGTTGAACTGGATGCCCTTTGGGGTCCCTTCGAACTCCAGAAGTCTATTAATTCTATAGCTGAACTGGCTTTTATGTATTTTTGTTTATATGTATTTTATTTTTGATGTACGATGTTTTAGATTGTATTGTTAGCATTGAATCCTTGCTGTTAGCCGGTCTGGGTCCCTTTACGGAGGTGGAGAAGATCAGGATACAAAAGCTTTAAATAAATAAATAATAGCCCTTATTACTCTATAAACCTGCTAATGTTTATGAGGTTGGTGGCGATCTGTCAGGAGTGTTTTGATTGTTCTTTATCTGCATGGAAGAAAAGGGTTAGACTGGGGATGGGGGAGCCTTTTTCATGTGACACACCTAGGGACCACAGGTGACACACTAATGCGTTCCAACACACTGTTTGCAGTGCAGCCCAAGCGCGACCACGTCCTTTACGTCACGTTCCCCAAAGAGTGGAAGACGAGTGACCTTTACCGCCTTTTCAGCGCTTTCGGTGAGTGGGCCTCCTTCCTTTCCCTTTGCAGCCCTCTCTTTGGGAGACTTGAGGCCACCCATCCGCTCCTCTTTCTCTTTTCTTGCAGGCAACATCCAGGTCTCCTGGATCGATGACACGTCCGCCTTCGTCTCGCTCAGCCAGGCAGAACAAGTCCAGATCGGTAAGCCTTATAAAAAAGGGCCTCTTTTATTTGGCAAGTGGCACTTTTATCTGTTCAAGGACAAAAAGAAAAACAAACTAAAATGTATATGCACAAATGAGCATTCTGGCTTTTTTAAAACATACATAAAATGAACAAGTACACAGACATCTACAATAATAACACAACTAAGAGAAAAACTAAATGCAGGAAGTAGAAAACTAAAAGCCACAAAACTAATCTGCAAACCTCTTACTGCAGGCTGGTTTTTAATCTCTGTTCCGTTTCAATGCTGTTATACTGTATAGTCACTTATAATAACATCCTGCTAATTCCTAAAAACCCCAGTCAAGAAATGTCCCTCTCAGTAAGTCCCAATCTTGCTTGTTGTTGGATGAATACATCCCTTTATCAGCTTAGTTAATGTGTCCATCTCTATATTCATGAATTTTCATCAGCTGTTGTATTCATTCTTGCCTTTCATTCTCTATGTATTATTATTATTATTTTATATATTATATTATTTTTGTTATTTTATTATATTTTATATTATTATACTATCATTTTATTTTACTATATTGTTGTAGCACTATTATATTATCATTATTTAGTTTTGTTATTGTTATTATATTTATTATTACTATATTTTATATTATTATTATATTAGTTTTGTTATTTTTATTATATTTTATATTATTATACTATCATTGTATTTTACTATATTTGTAGTACTATTATAGTACCATTATGTAGTTTTGTTATTGTTATTATATTTATTATTATTATATTTTATATTATAATATTATTATTGTTATTTTTATTACATTTATATTATTATACTATCATTTTATTTTACTATATTGTTGTAGTACTATTATATTATCATTATTTAGTTTTGTTATTGTTATTATATTTATTATTACTATATTTTATATTATTATATTATTTTTGTTAATTTTATTATGTTTTATATTATTATACTATCATTTTATTTTACTACATTATTATATTACTATTATATTTATGTCATTTTGTTATTGTTGTTATATTTATTATTGTTGTTATATTTTATATTATTACTATTATTTTTATTATTTTACTATATTATTATTATTATTTGTGTCCTGCTTTTTCTCTCTAACAAAGCGAATCAAAGCAGCTCGCATCCCTCCTGCTTTTCTCTTCCCCTTTGTATGCCAATCTTGTTTCCCAATCTTTTCCCAATACAACCCATTGATAATAAAGACTCAGGCCCCTGATCGGCTGTGTTGTAAGGTTCACCGTTACATCTCTATGAAGCTTTCTCTCTGACTGATCCCATACGAATCCAGCGTTGTAGATTTGGGATCCGGACCTTGTCCCTTTGGGGTCTTAGCTCTCCCCAATTTTGTATCATCTGCAAATGGGACTGGCTTGCCATTGTCCCATTCATGGGAGCAGAGCCCTTTGTAATGAATGGCTCCTCCACCTTCCTTGCAGCCGTCAACACCAGCAAATATGCGGAAAGCTATCGGATCCAGACCTATGCTGAATATGTAGAGAAGAAGCGCGAGGAGAAGCGGCCAGCAAAGCGGAAGTGGGCCGAAGACGGATGGAAGGAGTCTGAGGGCAAGCGCCTCAAGACCCAGGCCTCCCCGTATGGCACGGTCCAGGGCCGGTATTACAACCCCAACAGGTGAGTTTATGGCACGCATGGACAAACTTCGGCCATCCTCCAGGTGTTTTTGACTTAAACTCCCACCATTCCTAACAGCTGAAAGGCTATTGGGAATTGTGGAAAGTGGAGTCCAAAACACCCTGGAGGAGGGCCAAATTTTGCTCATGCCTGCTTTAGAGCACGGAAGCAGACCCACCCTTTTTCACTCAATTAAGACAGTATAACACACTGTATTATATCCCACTCTCGTAAACTTCTCTAAAGTTACGGTGTAAATACACAAAGACATTCTTGTGCCTCCATCAACAATTCAGTAATTTATTCAGAGACAAAATATGACTCTTCAAAAGATAGTTGCATTTCTTCTGAAAGGACATTTTCACATTTTGTATAGGCAGTTATGCAGTGAAATGATATCATGTCATCAAACATATCTGGAGCCCCTGGTGGTGCAATAGGTTAAACCGTTGTGCTGGCAGGATTGCTGACCGAAAAGTTGGCAGTTCGAATCTGAGGAGCGGGGTGAGCTACCATCTGTCAGCTCCAGCTTCCCATGCGGGGACGTGAGATAAGCCTCCCACAGGATAGTAAAAAATCCAGGTGTCCCCTGGGCAATGTCCTTGCGGACYGCCAATTCTCCCACACCAGAAACGACTTGCAATTTCTCAAGTTGCTCCTGACATGAAAAAAATAAAATTAAAAAAATGCAAAAAAAAAAAAAAAACCCAGAAAACCCCAGCATTTACAGGAAATGGAATTGTAATAGAATATAGTTTYTTAATACATCTGTAAATACATAGATGTTACAATATGTGTGCATTTAAAACATGCCTAGAAAGACCCAAGTTGGAAATAAATGCATGCAACATTTCATTTACCGGACTAACACGAGTTTTGTGCGTCATCGAAGCTAAGGCGCACCTTAATTTTCAAAACCGTGAAACCAAAAAGAAGTATTGTTGCTGAATGTAATGCGATGGATGATGGATGGATGGGTGGATGGATGGACGGGTGGATGGGTGGGTGGGTGGGTGGCACCCTGGTGGCACAGCAGGGTAAACCACTGAGCTGCTGAGTTTGTTGACTGAAAGGTCGCAGGTTCGAATTCCGGAAGCGGTGTGAGCTTCCACTGTCAGCCCCAGGTTCTGCTAACCTACCACTTTGAAAACATGCAAATATGAATAGATCAATAGGTACCACTTCTGTGGGAAGGTAACAGCGCTCCATGCAGTCATGCAAGCCACATTACCTTTGAGGCGTCTACGGACAATGCTGGCTCTTCGCCTTAGCAATGGAGATGAGCAGCACCCCTCAGAGTCGGACATGACTGGATTTAATGTCAGAGGAAACCTTTACCTTTACACACACAAAAACATCTCTCTCTCTCTCTATATATATATATATATATGAATGAGAGAGGTATAATATCATAGATTTGGAAAGGATCCCCAAAGGCCATCCAGTCCAGCCTTCTTCTGCAAGGCAGGTATTAGAGAAGATTTCTCTCCCTTCCTGTTGTCTCAGCCCTGTTCTTAACTGTGATTCGTTTGCAGGTCGGATGTTTGTACAGGACAGAAATATTCTTAATACACACTGGAAATGTATGGGATTTGGGGAAGACTGTACATTGGGTGCAGCTTAACCTTTGTGTGGCTTCGGCCTTCCATTTCTTCCAGCTTCACAGCAAGCAGCGCAGCAGGGAAGAGGAGCATGAGCCCTATCCAGGAGGAAAGCGGCTGCGGAGACGGAGAGGAAGAAGAGGAGGAAGAAGACGAAGAGGAGGATGAGGAAGAGCAGGACTCCACTGATGCCAACACAGACTCTGTCACCCAAGAAGGGAAGAAGAAGGCCAAGCGGTTTAAGAAAGCCAAAATAGAGCCGGACTCACCAGGTGAGTGGGAGCCAGAACAGGGCAGGGCTATTATTAAACAGAAGCTGGATGTCCACCCGTAGGGAAGGCTTGGCTGGTGCTTTCCTTTATGGGAGAAGGGGGTTGGGCTGGATGGCCTTTGGGTGTTCCTTCCAACTCTAGGATGCTATGGTTCTGTTGTTGTTGTTGTTATGCAGAGGCTGGACTTTCATCTATGGGGAGGGATTGGTGGTGCTTTCTTTTGTGGCAGAAGGGGCTTGGGCTGGATGGCCTTTAGGTGTTCCTTCCAACTCTAGGATTCTATGCTTCTTCTATTATTATTATTATTATTATTATTATTATTATTATTATTATTATTACTATTATTAAGCAGAGGCTGGATGTCCACCTGTAGGAAAAGCTTGGCTGGTGCTTTCCTTTATGGCAGAAGAGGTTGGGCTGGATGGCCTTTGGGTGCCCCTTCTAACCCTAGGATTCTGTGGTCCTGTTGTTGTTCTGCAGAGGCTGCACATCCATCTGTGGGGAGGGCTTGGCTGGTGCTTTCCTTTATGGTAGAAGGGGGTTTGTCTGGGTGGCTTTTGGGTGCCCCTTCCAACTCTAGGATTCTATGCTGCTTCTACTACTACTACTACTACTATTATTATTATTATTAAGCAGAGGCTGGATGCCCACCTGTAGGGAAGGCTTGGCTGGTGCTTTCCTTTATGGGAGAAGGGGATTGGGCTGGATAGCTTTTGGGTGCCCCTTCCAGCCCTAGGATTTTATAGTTCCATTATTATTATTATTATTATTATTATTATTATTATTATTATTATTTGAAACACAACAAGATGAGTCCACAGCAGACAAGAGCACTCTGCTGGCTGTTGTATTGGATCACACCTTGGACACTTCCCAAGTGTCTAAGATTGTGTGATGTATCGGCGAATAATGCATGCAGATCCCAGCGTCGATTGCATTTAAGTGCAGACCAAGGTCTTTAGGCACTGCACACAGTGTGCCGATCACCACTGAGACCACCTTTACTTGCTTGTGCCAGAGTCTTTGCAGTTCGATCTTTAAATCCTCATATCGTGTCAGCATTTTCTGTTGTTTCTCTGCAATCCTGCTGTCACCTGGGATTGTGACATCGACGATCCATACTTAGTTTAATTATTATTATTATTATTATTATTATTATTATTATTATTATTATTATTATTATTAAGGAGAGGCTGGACGCCCATTTGATGTCTTCCTTTGTGGCAGAAGGAGGTTAGGATGGATGGCCTTTGGGTGCTCGTTCCAACCCTAAATTTCTATGGTTCTGTTGTTGTTATGCAGAGGCTGGACATCCATCTGTGGGGAGGGCTTGGCTGGCTTTTCTTTATGGGGAAAGGGAGGTGGCTGGATGGCCTTCGGGTGCCTCTTTCATTTCTAGTATTATATGGTTCTATTATTCTTTATTTATTTATTATTATTATTATTATGCAGGTGCTGGATGTCCATCTGTGGGGAGGGCTTGGCTGGTGCCTTCCTTTGTGGCAGAAGGGGGTTGGGCTAGATGGCATTTGGGTGCCCCTTCCGTCTCTAGGATCCTATGGTTCTGTTGTTCTGCAGAGGCTGGGAACCCATCTGTGGGGAGGGCTTGGCTGGTGTCTTCCTTTATGGCAGAGCGGGGTTGGGCTAGATAGCTTTTGGGTGCCTCTTTCATCTCTAGGATTATATGGTTCTATTATTCTTTATTTCTTCTTATTATTATTATTATTCAGGTGCTGGATGTCCATCTGTGAGGAGGGCTTGGCTGGTGCCTTCCTTTATGGCAGAAGGGGGTTGGGCTAGATGGCCTTTGAGTGCCTCTTTCATCTCTAGGATTATATGGTTTTATTTATTTATTTATTATTATTATTATTATTATTATTATGGAGCCCCCGGTGACGCAGTGGGTTAAACCCCTGTGCTGGCAGGACTGAAGACCGACAGGTCGCAGGTTCGAATCCCGGGAGAGGCGGATGAGCTCCCTCTATCGGCTCCAGCTCCTCATGCGGGGACAAGAGATGACAAAACATCAGAAATCATCTGGGCGTCCCCTGGGCAACGTCCTTGCAGACGGCCAGTTCTCTCACAACAGGAGCGGTTGCTCCTGACACGACCAAAAAACCCCCAAAAACCTATTATTATTATTATTATTATTATTATTATTATTATTATTATGCAGGTGCTGGATGTCCATCTGTGGGGAGGGCTTGGCTGGTGCCTTCCTTTATGGCAGAAGGGGGTGGGCTAGATGGCCTTTGGGTGCCCTTTCTATGTCTAGGATCCTATGGTTCTGTTGTTTTTATTGTTCTGCAGAGGCTGGACGTCCATCTGTGGGGAGGACTTGACTAGTGCTTTTCTTTGTGGCAGAAGGGGGTTGGGCTGGATGGCCTTTGGGTGCCCCTTCCATCTCTAGGATCCTATGGTTCTGTTGTTGTTATTGTTCTTCAGAGGCTGGACGTCCATCTGTGGGAAGGGCTTGACTGGTGCCTTCCTTTGTTGCAGAAGGGGGTTGGGCTGGATGGCCTTTGGGTGCCCCTTCCATCCCTAGGTTTCGATTCCCCTTGGCCTTATTGTGCCTCCGCTCATTCCCTTCCTTAATGATCTCTGTGTTGTGCTTCTTTTAGGCCAAGACCTTCCAACTTCCTTCCCGGCTGGGATCTTTGACGTCCCGGACACTTGGTAGCCACAGTCTCCCCTCCTGGCCTCTGCTTCGGGAAATGGGCCGGCCCCATGGAGAGAGGGGTCTGGCTGCAAATCTGGATCCCTTCAGGCCCCGGTTTAACTCTTCCAACTGCCTCCTGGACCTTTGCGGCCATTTCCTTCAATGTCCATTTCCTTCGAACCTTTTCGGTCCCGAAACCGGAGCGGTCAGTCCCATATCCGGACTTCGATGTGGAATTACGACCTTTCCTTGACCTTTCCCATTTTGGAGAGATTCCCCTTTTTGCGTCCTTTATTTCCTGAAGGAGAGAACAACGACGTCTTTCCTTCCTTCCTTTCATTCATTTCAACAGAAACAAGAATTCTTGACTTTGGGTTTGATATTTAACATGTTTTCTTTTTTTTTCTATCATGGAAAACCAGAATTGAAAACACATTTAAGAAAAAAAAATGATGTATTTCCATAAAATGAAAATTAAAGGATTTTTTTTTTCCTTAGGAGTCGGGCTTTTGAGAGTATTTGCAAACCCAAAACTGCATCTACATTGTAAGATTTGATGCGGTTTGAGAGCAATATAATAATAATAACAATAATAAAATAAATCAGGGTATAAATCAGGCATAAGCAAACTTGGGCCCTGTAGGTGTTTTGAACTTCAACTCCCAGAATTCCTAGCAGCCTCAGGCCCCTTCCTTTTCCCCCTCTGCTGCTTTAAAATGTTAGAATGTTGAGGCTGGCCAATCAGAAACCATATGCAAATGAGTAGGTCAAGATAGCTCATGTATTGGCCAACTTGGGCCCTGCAAGTGTTTTGGACTTCAACTCCCAGAATTCCTAGCAGCCTCAGGCCCTTTCCTTTCACCCCTCTGCTGCTTTAAAATGTTAGAATGTTGAGGCTGGCCAATCGGAAACCATATGCAAATGAGTAGGTCAAGATAGCTAATGTATTGGCCAACTTGGGCCCTGCAGGTGTTTTGGACTCCAACTCCCAGAATTCCTAGCAGCCTCAGGCCCCTTCCTTAAGCGGCTGAGGGGGAAAAGGAAAGGGCCTGAGGCTGCTAGGAATTCTGGGAGTTGAAGTCCAAAACACCTGCTTATGCCTGCTAGAAATACATATAATGGTGATAATAATATTTTTGCCTTCCTTTACTTGAGTCTTTGAGAATCTCCAAACTCTAAATCCCAGCATTCAGCCATGGTGGTTAAAGCGGTATCAAATTGCATTAATTCCACAATGTAAACACATCAAAAGTGACATTGAAACAAACCATTCTGCACTAAACTGGAGGAATAAAACTATAAACGAGCACAAAGTTGGTGCAGACTGGTCATAAGAATGGATTGGGGGAAAATCCCACCCGACACGTGTCTTTTTTTGTAACGTGAGAATAGGAAACATGCGTGTTTCGGCTCAAATGGCCCTAAAAATGAGCCTCCCCGCTTCCCCGCGATCTCCGCCCCCCGGGGTGGAAGGCATGCGGACGAGAGAGGCTTATCGCGATTCTATCGCGAGCGAGGCACGGACGGGGTTCGAACCCGTGATCTTCGGTTTACGAGACCGACGCCTTACCACTTGGCCACCGCGCCTGCGTTGAAGGGGCCGCCTCGCTCCCTTCTAGGCTGGCGCCGCTCCCGACGTGATGGAGCGCGTTCTCGCCCGCGCCTGCGCACAAGCTGCTGGTCGCTTGGTAAGAAAAGATGCCCGACTGCGCACGCACAGAAAGAAGTCCTTCCCCCCTCCCATTCCTCACCGCAAGATACAACTACGCATGCGCCTAGTTTCACTTTTCCTTTGAGTATCTTTGTATCTTAGCTTTTGTAGCTGTTCAGCTTCCTTTGGTTTAGCAGGAAGAGGGTCTGAAGCAGAAATATATTGCTATAGATATATAAAAATATAGAAATATAGATATATAAAAATATAGATTTTTTTTATTTACAAAAAAAAAAACAGAATTGGGAAATGTAACTTCTTGGCTGGTTAGGGGATGATGGGAATTGTAGTCCACAAAAGTAAACTTTCCAAGCTCTAGTCAAAAGATAAAAATGACACAAAGGGCTTGGAAAAGTTACTTCTTGGGATCATAGTCCCCAAAAATGAACTTTCCAAGCCCTAGTTAGGAAACAAAAATAACACAAAGGGTTTGGAAAAGTTACTTCTTCTGGATGAAGGGAAATGTAACTTCTTGGCTGGTTGGGGGAATATGGGAATCATAGACCCCAAAAGTAAATTTTGCAAACTCTAGTTAGGAAACAAAAATGACAAAAAGGGCTTGGAAAAGTTCCTTTTTCTGGATGAAGGGAAATGTAACTTCTTGGCTAGTTGGGGGATTGTGGGAATCAAAGTTCCCAAAAGTAAACTTTGCAAACTCTAGTTAGAAAACAAAAAATATATACAGAAGAGCTTGGAAAAGTTACTTCTGGATTAAGGGAAATGTACCTTCTTGCCTAGTTGGGGGATTATGGGAATTATAGTCCACAGAGGTAAACTTTCAAAGTGCTAGTTAGAATGCAAAAAGTAATAAAAACGTTTGGAAAAGTTACTTCTTCTGGATTGAGGGAAATGTAACTTCTTGGCTAGTTGGATTGTGGGAATCAAAGTCCCCAAAAGTAAACTTTGCAAACTCTAGTTAGAAAACAAAAAATAATACAAAAGAGCTTGGAAAATTTACTTCTTCTGGATTATGGGAAATGTAACTTCTTGGCTGTTTGAGGGATGATGGGAGTTGTAGTCCCCAAAAGTAAACTTTCCAAGCTCTAGTTATGAAAACAGAAATTAATCCAAAAGAATTTGGAAAAGTTTCTTCTTCTGGATTAAGGGCAATGTAACTTCTTGGCTAGTTGGAGGATGATGGGAATCATAGTCCCCAGAAGTAAACATTCCACTCTCTAGTTAGAAAAAAAATATCACCAAAGGGCTTGGAAAAGTTATTTCTTCTGGATTAAGGGGAATGTAACTTCTTGGCTGGTTGGGCGATTATGGGAATCGTTGTCCCCAAAAGTAAACTTTCCAAGCTCTAGTCAGAAAACAGAAACAACACAAAGATCTTGGAAAAGTTGCTTTTTCCAGATTAAGGGAAATGTAAGTTCTTGGCTGGTTGAGGGATGATGGGACTTATAGTCCACAAAAGTAAACTTTCCAAGCGCTACTTAGAAAACAAAACTAACACAAAAATCTTGGAAAAGTTACTTCTTCTGGATTAAAAGCAATGGCCTTGTTTGAATGGCCTGTCTGGAGAATTCAAATCCATGTTTAAACCAACGGGAGAGTCACATGCTCTCAGCCCCAGGAAAAAACATTATTGGGTTACCATGAACCAGAAACTATTTGTAGGCACCTCAATAACAACAACAATGCTGAGCGTAAAGAGCTTTATGGTGTTTTGGACTTCGACTCCCACTATTCCTAGCAGTCTCAGGCCCCTTCCTTTTCCCCCTCAGCCACTGATGCGGCTGAGGGGAAAAGGGAAAGGGCCTGAGACTGCTAGGAATGGTGGGAGTTGAAGTCCAAAACACCTGGAGGGAGGGCCCAAGTTGGCCCATGCCTGATATATAATGATGATAAGGGTATTGTGTTTTACCCCACCTTCAAGCTGATAAGAGAGGCAAGTAAGAAATAATAATACTAATAATAAAGCAGCTCTGGCGGGATCCCTCATAATTACGGTACTAATTGAAATCATCAAAATGATGAGCTTTGCTTCCATGGCTATATGTGTTTAATAGTTTTTCCTCCGTTTCCTTTCATTCCTTTCATTTCTTCCCTTCTTCCTGTCGGCTGGATCCTTGCAGGAGAGTTGTCTTTACAAAAGGGAGAGCCCCCTTCCCGCTGCTACAAAGGTGTTTCCTGTGCGCTTCATTTGCACCTGGTGGTCTTTCTCTCGAAGCGGGCCACACGTGGCACCCGGTGGCCATTCATCTCCAGGATCCAACTGGGCAGCGACCAGCAGACCGTCTTGACGGCCGAGCCGCTGTCATCCAGAGGCATGCAGACATAGCAGAAGGGCCGGCGGGACCGGGACCCAGAGCGAGAGGTCGGGCGGTCACTGCGGTGGGGATGGCGGTGACGATGACCCTTGGCCTTTCCATCCAGCCCCATGTCAAGGTCCAGCCGGGCCCCTTGTTTTGGCTGCAACGTGGTATCCAGCTTCTTCTGGAGGTGCAGGTTGAGCTTCTCCTTGGCCAAGTCCAGCTGCAGCATGAGGCTGGCCCTCACAATGGTGGCATCTTTTGGACGCTTGGACACTTCCTCCGTCCCAGGTCTGAGGACAGCCTTGAGGGACGGTGGCCTCTTTGGCTGCTTTAGTGGTCCTCCATCCTCCTTGATCTCGGATCTGTCCTCATCTTGATCTCTTTGGCTGAAGGGAGGTGGTGGAGGCACTTCACCAGACCTCCCAGGCTCCATCTGTTTCAGGGACATTGTGGTTTCCTCTGTCCCCATTGTTTGACCACTATCCACTCCAGGCAGGGCCTCTCCGGCCACCATTTGTGGGGGGACAGCACAAGTCAAATGTTGTCCTGGCTCCATCCCTGACTTTTCCTCATGTCCAGTCACTTCTTCAGGAGGCTTTGGGCTTTCCACAGAGGAAGACAGGAGACCCTCCTTGGACTTTTGGTCTTCAGCCTCTTGCATCTCCTCTGGATGTTGCTCTTCCATTTTGACCAGCTGTCCCTCTTGCATCATCTCCAGATGTTCCTCTTTCATTTCCTCTTCCAGTAGTTGGGCAGGTCCTTCTGTGGTTTCTTCAGCAAACACCAATGGAGAGGAAAGCGGCAAACCAAGTGGCATTTGTGACCCCGGGGCCACAAGAATTTGCCCCGAAAGCTGAGCCTGCACCATCCCTTTTTGGGCCAAGGCAGGGGTCTTCTGTTCCTCAGTAGCGCCACTGGCCTCGCGGAATGGTATGGGGAGCCTCCACACATAGACCAGGTACTTGTGCTTGATGTTGAGGTCAAGGAGGCATAGGACTTCTTTGGGAATGAAAGGCAGGGTAGCTTGCTTCGCGCGGGGGACCTTGTTACCTAGGCGGATGGTCTTGGGCAGCGGGCGGCAGGAGAAGCGGCTGAAGGTGTGGAAGGAGCCCTCCACGATTTCGGGAAAGCCCCCCCTCTTGATTTCAAGCATCTTCGCCATGATGTGGAACACGATCCGCTTGAGTTCGTCCGGCTGCATCGAGAGGAGGACGTACTTCCTCTTCAGAACTTGAGGCGACACCATCGCGGCACTAGGTTTCTTAATGGAAGGGGTGACTCTCCCTGCTTCCGTCGCCCGACGCAAGACGTAACGTTCTTTTTCTTTGAGGGGTTTCTGCCAAGGTTTGCCATAGATCTCCTTGACATTTCTGCGTGCCAAAAGAAGGCTAGCCGGACTCCTGGCACAGATGGGCATTAATCCCTTTGCTGACCGCTCCATTGGGCTGAAGTCCCCCATGGAGTGGAAATGCTGCAGTGACCGCACCACAACCGTGGGCACCCCGCACTGATGCTGCACCATTTTCTT